GTCTTACACTTGGGACTCCCGTTGTCAGAGGGCTTTGTCCAGCCCCTCTGTGGAGGCTCAGAGATGTGGATGGACTTGCCCACAGGCTCATTGGTGGGCTTGCAAGATTGAGAGTCTGGACTTGACTTCCTTGGGCCAGGACAGGAATGTGGTGTAAACTTCTCTTTGGCCGGGCCAGCCCCCACCCGTGCTCCTCACCCCCACCAGCCCGTCCTTCCGAGCCCATTTTCCTAAGCAGCTTTCAAGTTGACACCTTTTTCTGGAGGCTCCTGTCCAGCTGGGATAAGGGACAACTACCAGCTCCTGGGACTGTATGAATTCTTTCTAGAACTCAGGACCAGGGTCTCTCTATTTTATCTCCCCACAGGGAGGGAGAGAAGAGGGTTTGAGCCAGGGCCCAGGATCTTGAGGCTGCTGGTGCCAAAGCCAGTGGGTGGTTAGTGGCTAGGCCTCCACATCCAGGCACAGATGCCACACTGGCTGCCTAGGACTAAATCCCTGCTTGTGCAAAGGGAATGCTCAGGCCTCCATATATATATATATATATATATATATATATATATATATATATATATATATATATTTTAATCTTTATTGTTCATATTATTACAAATGTTCCTCTTCCCCCCCCCCATTGCTCCCCTCCACCAGGTTCCCACCCCACCCTCCGCCCCTTGTCCTCATCCATAGGTGCACAGTTTATGTTCAGTCTCTTCCCACACACCCCTCCCCCCCTCCCCGAGAATCGTCAGTTCATCAACAGTTAATATTGTTCATCAGATTTTTTTTTAATTTCCTTGGTATTTAGATTCACTTGTTGATAGTTACGTATTTGTTGTTCATAGTTTTATCTTTATTTACTTTCTCTTCCGAAAGAACCCCCTTCAGCAATTCATATAATTCTGGTTTGGTGGTGATGAACTCCTTTAGCTTTTTTTTTATTGGTGAAGCTCTTTATCTGGCCTTCAATTCTGAGTGATAGCTTTGCTGGGTAGATTATCTTTGGCTGTAGGTTCTTACTATTCATCACCTTGAATATTTCTTGCCATTTCCATCTGGCCTGCATGGTTTCTGTTGAGAAATCAGCTGACAATCATATAGGTGCTCCTTTATAGGTAACTACCTGCTTTGCTGCTTTTAATATTCTCTGTTTGTTTTTTGCTCTTGGAATTTTAATTATGATGTGTCTTGGTGTGGTCCTCTTTGGATTCCTTTTGTTTGGAGTTCTGTGCGCTTCCTGGACTTGTAAGTCTAATTCTTTCACCAGGTGGGGGAAGTTTTCTGTCACTATTTGTTTCAGTATGTTTTCGATATCTTGCTCTCTCTCATCTTCTGGGACCCCCGTAATTCTGATGTTGGTTCGCTTGAAGTTGTCCCAGAGGTTTCTTACCATATATATTTTTTAATATATTTTATTGATTTTTTTACAGAGAGTGAGAGGGATAGAGAGCTAGAAACATCGATGAAAGAGAATCATCAGTCAGCTGCCTCTTGCACACCCCCTACTGGCGATGTGCCCGCAACCAAGGTACATGCCCTTGACCAGAATCAAACCTGGGATCTTTCAGTCCGCAGGCCGACGCTCTATCCACTGAGCCAAACCGGTTTCGGCAGGCCTCCATATTTAGGGATAAACCAGGCTTTCCCCAGCATGGCCTGCTAAGTTTGTCTCCACGCTGTGGCTCACGAGGCCTCCCCTGTAGCTTCTGTACTAGGCCTTTTTGGTGCCCAAACCCCAGCTCTTTTCTGCCTTCATAAAATGAGGCTAATGCGTCATGCCACCTGAGCTGTGGTACAATATTTTTTTAATATATTTTATTGATTTTACACAGAGAGGAATTGAGAGGGATAGAGAGTTAGAAACGTCGATGAGAGAGAGACATTGACCAGCTGCCTCCTGCACACCCCCCACTGGGGATGTGCCCGCAACCAATGTACATGCCCTTGACCGGAATCGAACCCGGGACCCTTCAGTCCCCAGGCCGAGGCTCTTCCACTGAGCCAAACCGGCTTCGGCCAATTTTTTTTTTTTAAGAACTTTTCTTAAATATATATTTTTATTGACTTTTTTACAGAGAGGGATTGAGAATTAGAAACATCGATGAAAGAGAATCATCAGTCAGCTGCCTCTTGCACACCCCCTACTGGGGATGTGCCTGTAACCAAGGTACATACCCTTGACCAGAATTGAACCCGGGACCTTTCAGTCGGCAGGCTGACACTCTATCCATTGAACCAAACCGGTTTCGGCGAGCTGTGGTACAATTAAGAGGTCGCCTTTTGCATCTGGCACCTGGCATGAGGCAGGCATTTGGCTAATATGAGTTCATCTTTCTTCCCGGCCCTGCCCCGCTCACCTCCCTATCCCTCCCCAGGACTTGAGCTCTGCTGAACTCATTGCTGGCCTGCGGCTTGGTGGCAGAAGTGATTTCTTACCAATTCACAAGCTTTGCTGGAGCTCTTGGTGTTCTGACCCTTTGCTCAGGTGGAACCTCCTCTCGGGTGCTAGCCTTAATGCCCGGCCAGTCCCTTCCTCCGTGTTCCCCAGCTCCCCTGTGCTCATCTCTCTCACAGCCCTCTCACACTCGCGTGTAGTCGCTGCCTGTTTTCCCGCCCCTCGCGCAGTTTGCGAGCTGATGGAGGCCGGAGAGCAAGTCTGATTCATTTCTCTGCCTCCTTGCCAGCCCAAGGTCTGACTTAGTAGCTGCCTGGTAACCCTTTGCTGGATAAATAAGCAGGAGGCCCTCTCTTCCCCTTTGATGTCCTCTCCCCCACCCGCACCCCGCACACTTAGGGCAGGAGGTTGCTGGGTGCCTTTCTTTCCTAGAACTTCTGTCCAGTCCAGTCTCAGGCTACAGCCATAGTTGCAGCTGCACTGCTGGAGACCCCCAGCTGGGAGATGGTGACCCCGTTTGGCAGGGATGGGTTTGGGAGAGCTGGTTGGAGTGTGCTCGCCCACAGCCTCTGGGGCAGGAGGGGCACCTGGACTGCTGGAATGTTGTGCCCAAACAAGAGTCTGTGCACTTCCCATGGAAGCCCATTAAGGGCTTCCCGGTGCCTGTGTCATCTCTGGAAAGCCAGCCAGCCATACCTTCCCGGGGTGTGGGCCCTGGTGGTGGGGCTGCTGGGTGTTCCCTCCCCCCCATCCCCTCCTGTCCAGCCACTCACCGGGGACTTTCTGAGGGTCTCTCAGTTGTACATCTGTCTGTGTTGGGCTCCCTTCTCTGACGGGTGGCCACCTCCCCAGTATATGTACACTATTTACAAGGCCTTTTCTGGCTCTGAGGCTCCTTTGATCGTCTTGACAGCTCTTTCAGGTATATCCCACATCCCCCATTTGATATGAAACTGCGGCTTGGAGTGTTACGGTAGCTCCCCAAAATCCTGCAGTGAGTGAGTGAGTGAGTGACAGAGCTGGGGTTGGAACCCAGAGCTTTGACATCTAAACCCTGTGCTTCCTATTTCGCAAGGAATTTCTCTCACCTGAGATTGGGGGAAAAGGCCTGCAGAGAGGCGATCCCCTCTGGTTGGCAATTGCCTGGATCCTATAAATCTCCAGGCAGCGTGGCTCGGGATTTTTGGTCCCTAGTCCTGATGCTGGATCAGGCTGGCTTCTCCTGATGGCCAGCAGAGGGCGTGAGTGGCCTGGGAAAGATGTTGCTTTTGGTTTGTTTGGGTTTGAAGTGACACGTGGACATTCTACTTTTTTTTTTTAAATAGACTTTATTTTTTTTTAGAGCAGTTTTAGATTGACAGCAAAATTGAGCAGAAGGTACAGGGAGTTTCCCTATACTTCCTATCCCCACGCGAACATAGCCTCCTCTACTATCAACACACCCTGTCAAAACGATACATTTATTACAATTGATGTACCTACATTGACACATCAGACTCACCCAAAGCCTGGCTCCTGGCAACCCTGGGCCATTTTTGTAAACAACTTCCAAGTGTTTTTTTGGGCCTCATCTTGGTTACATTCTAGGAGTTAGGACACCGTCTTAGTACGCAGAGTAGCTTCGTTGCTTTAGCAATGCTCTGTATTCTGTCTACTCATCTCAGCATTATATTAAAAAAACAGCCTTCGTACAGGTTCACTTAATCTGAAACTTTGGGGCCAAACGTGCCTTGGAAATTGAGAAAATTCTCCGAATTTAGAGCACTCCCCTGGTGAATGCTGTCCTGTAACACCTCCAGGGGGGCCTGTGGCAGACAAACACCCGAATGTTTCAATATTCATCTCCAAGGGGGTAACTGGGTTCTCATCAGCTCAGGCAGTGATGCTAAACAAGTTAGGTAAAGTCTTTTGGCTTTCGAAGCTTTTTGAGTTAGGGGATTTTGGATGAGTGATTACATATCCCTTATAAAGAAGGAGGTGAAGTCAAGTCACCTGCAATGGCAACACTTAGGGATAATATTTTGTTCCATAGCCTTCCCAACTTTGTATGCATATGTGTTTGTGTAGCTATGCATATACATATATGCTAAATGCATTCACTCACAAGTAAAATCATACTTTGCATACATTTTGCCTTACACAAGATCTTGGCATTCCCGAGCTGTATGTGGGATTCAAGATCTTAGCAATCATTCCCTTCTCAACATCTCTCCTCCCCTAGGGTGGCTAGAGGGTCCCCAGGTGAGAGTACTGGAGGTAGAGCCAGGTATCGCCCCCCACCCAGCTCCCCATTCCTGCCAGCCCTGGGCCTCTGGCTGCCTGTGGGAAGGTCCAGCGTGGACTCCCAGCATGGTCAGCAGGAGGCAGAACGCAGCTGGGGCCTCTGCTCTCAAGGCAGCTGGGCTCCTCTGGGAGCAAGTCTTCGGCTCACACAAGGCCGGGCTCCTTAAAGGATCTCCTCCTGCTCCACATGCATGGGATGGACAAACAGGGCTGAGAACTTGACCCTGCCAATCAGCTGGGCCCCTCAGGAGCCCGAGGGCAGCGCTCTGGGGAGGGGGTGCAGGCCTTTCCTGTTGCTGACCCCCACACCTCTTCCCTGCAGCAGGAACACTGGTTTGAAAAGGCCCTGCGAGACAAGAAGGGCTTCATCATCAAGCAAATGAAGGAGGACGGCGCCTGTCTCTTCCGGGCTGTAGGTGAGTCTCTGCCTCAGCCTTCAAGGGCCCAGGGCTGCCCCTGCGTGTCCCAGTTGTCAGGAGGAACCTGAGATAGGGTTGGGGACAGAGTTAACTGGTCTTTTATGGACTCCAAGCCACAGCCTTAAACGAATCTGGCCTCTAGTCCTTTGTCATCAGGCAGTGTGGCGGCAGGAGAGGACTAATAGCAGCAATGACAGTGATAAGGAAAGTAACGTTAGGGACAGACTGCTCCATCAGGCACCACAAGAAACCCTTGCAATTCTTCCCTAAGCTGGGTGAGTGTTGGGACCATTGCTTCCAGTTGTCAGATGAGAAAAGCAGCTTAGAGATGGAGAGTGGCCTGCCCAGGGGCAGGTAGTACATGGTAGGTTAGTCTGAGGGCTAAAGGTTAGTCTGGGGGCTCTTAACTACAGCATACTACCCTCACTTTGGAATAATAGACCTTCTCTTTTTAACTTACACAAAAGTAGAGACAATAGTGAACCTTCATGTACCCATCATTCATCTCCCAATTAGTCATCAACACATGGCCAGCCCTGTTTCATCACTATCCTGCCCACTCTTTATTACTATCCTGAAGTGAGTATTTTTTTTTAACTCTTTAAAAAATTTTTTTTAATTAATTGATTTTGAGAGAGAGAGAGAGAGAGACACATTGATTCGTGGTTCCACTTGTACATTGGTTGGTTGATTCTTGTATGTGCCCTGACCAGGGATCAAACCTGAAACTTGGCATATCGGGATGATGCTCTAACCCAGTGGTCGGCAAACTCGTTAGTCAGCAGAGTCAAATACCAACAGCACAACGATTGAAATTTCCTTTGAGAGCCACATTTTTTTAAACGTAAACTTCCTCTAATGCCACTTCTTCAACATAGACTCGCCCAGGCGGTGGCATTTTATGGAAGAGCCACACTCAAAGGGCTAAAGAGCCGCAGTTTGCCGACCACGGCTCTAATCAATTGAGCTACCAGGCCAGAGCTGAAACAAGTATTTGTTGTTGTTGTTGTTAATCTTCACCTGAGGATATTTTTTCCATTGCTTTTTCAGAGAGAGTGGAAGGGGGGGGGGGAGAGAGAGAGAGAGAGAGAGAGAGAAACATGGATGTGAGAGAGACAAATCAACAGGTTGCCTCTCGCACACTCCCCGGATCGGGGACAAATCCACAACCCAGGTTACATGCCCCTGCCCGGAATCCAGCCTGTGACTCTTCGGTGAAAGGGTTGATGATCTAGCCACTGATAACACTGGCCAGGGTGAAACGAATATTTTTTTTGTAATAAGTGTTTGTTTATTTTAGAGAGAAAGAAAGGGAGAGAAAAGCATCAATGTGAGAGAGAAATATTGATCGGCTGCCTCCTGCACACCCCCTACTGGGAATCTCGCCGGCAGCCTGGGCCTGTGCCTGACTGGGAATTGAACTGGTGGCCTTCCAGGGCATGGGACAATGCTCAAATAAGTCACCCACCAGCCACGGCTGAAATGGGTATTTTTAAAGCAAAACCCCAACATTAGGTTATTTCATTCATAAATATTTCTGTATGTTTCTCCGACAGATAAAGTCCCAGTTTCTTCCTCTGTCTCTCTCTCTCCCCCTTTCTCCCTGTCTCTCTCTCTCTCAACATAATCAAAATGCCATTATCGTACCTAACAAAATTAATAACTGCTTAATACCATTTACTCTCCACTCTAAACCCAACAAGCCGTCCTGAGGCCCTGTGCTAGCTTCCAGGGGAAGCTGGGAGTCTGAGCCCATCATCCCTTTGGGGTTCCTCCATCTGCCCTAAAAGGCGCTCTTGTTAGGAGGTCTGAGCTGGGAGTCAGAAGCCCTCTCTCAGCACTATCCTCGTCCCATCTGTGAAGTAGGATTGACTCTGAAGGGCTCCTTCGATCCCTTCTGGGTACCCCCCTTCCCCTGGCCTGCGGGTGGGCTGGGCTGACCCAGGCGCCACCCCAGGCTGTGCCACTGATTGTTCGAAGGACCTTGGGCAAGCAGCTTTTTTTTTTTAAATCTTGAGCCTGTTACAACCTAGTGGCCGTTCAGTGAGATTTCAGTAAATCCCTTTAGGGCCTGAGAGCATAGGAGCCCCTCGGGGAACTTAGCCCTGATAAAGCCTGGAAGCTCCTCTCAGCCATGCCCGGAGCCACAGGTGTTTGTTGAGCGGGTGAAAGAAAGACATTTAGGTGGGGTCAGGTCGCCTCCCCCTTTCTCCCACACGGGAGGTTTGGGCAATGACCTCTGCTGGGCTGGAAAATCCCAACCCCCCCCCCTCCCCCCTGGTTTATGCCTGTGTTCTCCCTGAGATGTTTCCCAGAGCAAGAGTTCAGGTTTAGTCATTGGACCAAAGAACGCACAGGCAGGGGTCTGTTCTGAGAACTCAGGCTGGTTGCCGGGTGAGCAGGGCTTCTGGTGGAGTGAGGGGCAGGGAACGCAGCTGGGCAGCTGGGTCTTGAACGGTCTTTGAGGCAGACCTTGGCGCTAGCGATAACCGGGCTTGTGCAGCAACCCATATGAAGAGCAATATTTGCACATGTGTCCATTTAGCTGTTTTCCCCACACATCCTCTGACCCTTCCCCCTGTTGGGGCCTTCCAGTAAGAGGCTGGCGCTGACAGGAAGCGCTGACCATGGCAGGTTGAAGGCCTTTTCTTATCAGCACTATGGCTATACATTTCCCCTGACTGAGCTGCCCTTGGCTTTTTTCCAGAAAAACCTCTGAAGCCCAGCGGTCGGGCCTCTGAAGTGCTCGGCCCCTGGGTCTCTGGGCCTCGTATGGAATTTTCCCCGGGGCAGAGTGCACACGACCAGTGCAGACCAGACCTGTGCGTGGGAAGGGGACTTTGCCCCCTGGCTTTCTGCTTCCAGCCGAGCTGGGACAGGGACAGGGACAGGGACAGGTGGCAATTGCCCTGGGCTCTGGCGAGAAGGCTGCAGGTTCTCACTTCCGGCCACACACTGAACAGTCGAAGGAACACACAACTGAGGGTGGGAGTTAGGGGGGGGGATTGTGGACCCAGGGGACGCCCTGTCACTCCTGGACCCTGAATCTGCTAGGCATTCAGCTGGATGCTGCAGCTTCATCTGTCAAGTTGGAATTCTTATATTCCCACGAGACAGCCGGGACGGTTGAGGCTCAAGAAAGGGAAATGACACGCTCAGGTCATCAGTGGCAGCGCTGGCATGGGAACCCAGAGGTGCCAAAGGACACATTCTTTCCGCAGCCCTAGGAAAGCCCTAGCTTTTTAGTTTGGCTCTCAACAGGCTGGGTGACCTCAGCTGCAGTCCTTGACCTCTCTGGGCCTTCCTTACTCCAACGAGGAGCCCATGGGCCTCTGCTGATGGGAATTCTGAAGCAGGCGGCTTTCTGCCCTCTGTGCTGCCTTGGAGGTCTGGGCGTCCCCAGTGTGAACCACTATCTACTGCCTGTGCCCAGTTCTCCCCCACCGCCCCTCCCGGGGGCTTGTGAGCATCAGCGAAGGCGGGATGGGATGAAGTGGGAGCCTGAGCTCCAGGGGTATCCTGTGGGCCACCCTGCCCCTGCTCTGCCCAGATAACCTCCTCCTGGAAATGTGAGTCTGCAGCTCTCCTCCTTCCCTCTGCGCATATGCTTTGACTCAGCAAAACCTCCGGCCCAGGCCTCTGTGGGCAAAGTGGAGGCTCAGAGTGTGTGTCTGCATGGGCCAGGGAGAAGCAGATGGGGTGGGGGAGGTGACAGCAGTGAGGCCCACAAACAGTAGCCAGGCCCCCTCCTCTGGGCCGTTTTGGGTTGGAACTTGGGCCCCTAGCATTGGAGGGACGGATCCCAGATCAGCGTAGACTATTTTATAAACTGGGAAGCTGGAACCTCAAGAGAAAGGCAGGGCCCTACTATCTAGGTCACACAGGCAGGTGTTTGAGGTTGGAGAACCAGGCCAGAGGGAGAAGGTCTCCATGCCAGATTCCATTGGTCTTTGCCCTGCCTCCATCAGTCTTTCCCTCGGGCCACGGGAGGCCTTGAGGAAAAGAGCAGGCATTCCAGAGACCAGGCTATGGAGAGGCTAGGGCTCCGCTGTCCCCACCGAGTCTGCCACCTCTGGGGCAGGTGGAGCCCCTGTCCAGGCGTGCACCACAGCTGCCTGACAGGCAGGTGGACCCCCCCCCCCCCGACTCTTCTCCTCAGTGGGGCTGGGGTTGCCACTGGGCCAGGAGGGAAGTGGGAACAAACCAGGTCCCTGTCTCCCTGAGCTGCTGTGTGTACACATTTGTGTGGTTTGTTTTTAGATTTCCTGCAGACACCAAGCTTCCTTTTCTATTCTCAGCGGAACTTGCTGGGGCTCTCTTAGCAGGCGGCAGGCAGGCAGGCAGGAGCCTGGCAGGGAGGCACTGCTCAGGGGCCTCTGAAGCCGATGGCGGGGCCCTGTGCGGCCGCTCCTTTAGGTAGTGCCGGCTCTCCCAGCTTGCTCCTCCACGTAACCACCCGGCACACAGTGACTACATTTTAGGGAACCCAAGGAGGGTTAGAGACCTCCTGCAGCAGTGGAGGGAGGTTGTGGCAAGTCTGTTCCTGCTCCTGGCTCTTCTCCCCTCCCCCCTGCCCCTGGCAAAGGCCAGGAAGGAGGGGGCAGGGTCCTCCGTTTGCACAGCCTTGCATCTTGTCCAGCATCTTGGCTGCAGGGGCATCCGCTTGTGGACTAGGATGGTTCTCTGTAGTTGCAAGGGCTGTCGTGTGGGAATTGGGCCTCGGGGAACATCTCCGGCAGGACCTGCAGGCTGTGTGTGCGCGCGCATGGACATTTCTAGGCCGGTGACTGTGTGCTCGGGGGGGGGGGGTCTGAGGAAGTGAGGTTCATGCTGACCTCTGTGGCCTTAGTGAGCGGTATAGCCCCTGATATTTGTAATCTCTGCCCACTCCCAGGCCTTTCCAGCTGATTCCTGCTTGCGCTGGTGGGGAAACTGAGGTAGACAGGATCAGGCCTGGCCCCTGAGTCAGGTGGCTGACGTGATAGCGGGATTGGAATGGTGGTACTGTCTTCTTGGCTATCAGTGCTTGAAGTCCATCCGTGAGAGCCTGGCCTCCTCTTCACCCTCCCAAACGTGTGCCCGTGGCCAGCTGTGCCACATTCTGGACCTCAGTGTCGCCCCTGTGTACAGTCAGGTGTCTGGGAGGAGGATAGAACGAGTTGGGATGTAAAAAGGCTTTGGGGGAACCAGTTCCAGTGCTGGATTGAGGGTGTCCACTTCTGTCTGGGTCGGGGACGGAGGTGAGGCAGTGGGGAGCCCTCTTCCAGCTGGACTCCGGGAAGGGAGAGCAGGTGCGGACTGCCCGCAAGTGCAGCGTCAGCAGAGGGGGGGGTTTCGGTTTCTATCAAAACAAGTTCTCTGAATTCCCCTACCTCTGCAAGTCCATCGGGCCCTCTCCCACCTTGGCCCCCACAGGGAAGTCCAGCCCTGTCCCTAGCCTCTGTGCCACCTTCTGGGAGGAGGAGGGCTGTCAGGACGAAGGCGGGACTAGCAGAGTCAGGCAAGAGCCTCCTCAATGAGACTTCCTGTGTTCTTAGGCAGCTCTGGGCATCTTTCCCGCCTCGTATCGTAAGAAAGGTCCTTCCACTCTCCCTTCGTGTCCTTGGTCCCGAGGAGCGTATATTCTTCCTCAGTAATGATTCCTAAGCTAGGGTGCATCTGCTAATCAGTGAGCTTGGTGACCTCCCTCCTGCAGCTGTCCTGAAACACATGTATCATATCACCCGTCAATGCAGCCTAGGGTCGAGGAGAAAAGGTTATATTTTGCATGTGATTGCTAAGCAGAGAAGGTCATCTTTGCCCACATTGAAGGACCCTGTTACGTGAAGCCTATACTATGGATTTGACATTGATCTGGTGACTAAAGGTTTGCGGCCCTTCGGCGTCATAAAGGTCGAGTGCCGGTCCTGCGTACACGTAGGACAGCCCAGACCCCAGGTTTGGGGCTTTCCTCTGGCTGAGGAAGTACAGCAGAAACGAGGAAGGGCTGAAGTGGTTCCGGTGGCATTCTAGCTGACTTGTGGGTAGCCAGCTACCTGAAGGCGTCATCACCTTCCTCATGACAAATGAAGCCCGTCTCTGGAACACCTCTGCCTCAGAGGTCTTGACAGCGCCCGTGAGAGGAAAAGGAGTTACTCTCTCCACCTTCGGATGAGGCTACTGCAGCCCAGAGAGGTTAAGGCCTTGTCCAGTACCACACAGCCGGGAGGCAGCAGAGCCCTCTGCCCACAAAGGGGTCAGTGGCAGGGAAATGCGGGGACCCTCAAGGGGTTCTTCCCCTTGAGGGTCCCGTCCCTGTCCCACAGTCTCCCTCGTTTTCCTGTGTTTTCTTGCATCTGGCATGGAGCTCAGGTCCATGTGTCTATTAGGCCGGAAATGCCGACTGACCCTTCCCTAGAAACAGCTCAGCCATCTCCCCGAGCCTGGCAGGCCAGTCTCCGCTTAACCCCTTCCCTCCCATCTCAGTTCCTGTTTACTGCAGCTGCCCACAGCACTGCCTCCTCCGCACCCAGGCCCATCCTACAGAAATAGCTTGTCAAGCAGCTCTGGCAGGCAGGCAGCCACAGTGGGCTCTGTGGTCCTGGCTTCTAAGAAAGGCAGCAGCAGGGGCCCCCAGCCGGTGCGCAGGACATGTGACTTGCTGGAAGTGCCACTGGGGGGGCGGGGCAGAGTGTAGCCACAGAACCCACATCCTTGTTTACATCAGTGATGGGGCTATCCCTTCCCGCCTTCACGCCCCATATCCCCCTCACCCTCAGATCCCTGCACACCTCCAGGAAGACTTGAGAACAGGCCTGGGCCCCTGCATTCTATCTCAGAGCAGGCTTTCTCTCCTATCTCACAGAACCAGCAGGGGAGGGCAGCGAGGCGTTCTTCTGGCGCTTCTTCACCGAGGTAGCCTGGCTGTCATGGAAGAATTCTGCCCCTGCCCCAGGGAGATCCCAGCAGAGCAGTGGTCCTCTGGGGAGACAAAGGGAAATTCCCTCTTCATCTTAGGGGATGAAACGTGGCCTCCTCTTCAAGCCCACCTTAGTTTCCCGGGGAGAAGTCTCGGCTCCCTGAGCTTGTTCCTGCCCTCCGCAGACTTCCCAGTTCCCTGAGCTGTCCTGGGCCCTGGGCTGGGAGGAGACTTGAATGAGAATTGCCCTCAGTAGGAGCCCCGTGTGATCCGGCAGATGACTTCTGTACACATATCTGGTAAACCTGGAGCTAGAGGTGTCCAGGAGGGTGGGGAGCTACTAAAGAACATATTGGTGTTGGGTAGGTAGCCAGTCCAGCAGTATGGATGGGGTGTCTTGAATGAGGGAAGAAATGTGAGGATCGGACTAAAACTCCATGGTGCCTGAGCCATTCGGGCCACAGGCTGCCAAAGTTAGGTGCATGTGTATCTTCTCTCTCTTCCTAGACTGTGTGCTTCTGGTGGGCAGGGGCAGGCTGTTACTAAGCTCTGTCACCTTCATAGCACCCCACCGTTAGGCCCTGGGGAAGGGGCCTCTGATTTACCGAGGGACTGCTCCGTCTCCAGCCCAGTGCTGGTCACGTTACACCCGCTATCTCATCAATCTCACCAGAAGTCCTGCCAAGGAGCTATCCAGCTCGTTCCTGTTTTACACGTGAGGCAGGTGAGGCTCGGAACACTTGGGTCACTTGCCTCTGGTCATTTAGCACTAGTACTTGGCAGAACTGGGCTTAGAGCCCAGCTGTTTTCCTTTTCCTCTTTTTCTTTTTTTTTAAACCTACAAAGGCCGTGCTGACTCCAGGAAGTTAGGTACACTGCTGAATTCTAGACTTGAATTGGTCGCACACTGACTTTCTGTGTGAACTTGGTCAAGCCACAAACTCTCCCTGAGCCTGCTTCCTCATGTGAAGAGTGAAGTGGGGGTATGGAGTGGATAGTGCTTCGGGCCACTTAGGAGATGAAATGTTTGTTGACCAGTCTGAGCAGCCATCCAAGCCCTAGACAAAGCCATCTGCATGAGAGGCCTGTGGTTGTGTCCCTCTCGCCTGTACTCTTGTTCAAAACTGTCCATGTTTGCCTTTTGTTCCCTGGTGCCGTTCCAGCCCACAAGGCCAAGAACTCTCCGGGCCCTGGGGTCGGAAAGGAAGTTGCCCCGGCCCCGAGCTCTTCACCCCAAGGATGTCCTGTGACCTAGAACTCTTCTCTGCTGCCAGTTCTAATCCCAGCTTCTCCTTCCTTCTGCCTCCACAGCTGATCAGGTGTACGGAGACCAGGACATGCATGAAGTTGTACGAAAGCACTGCATGGACTATCTGGTGAGACTTCATGGAGACCTCGGGGTAGGGGCAGAGTGGGAGGATCTCCTCCCCACACTGAGCTCGACCCTCTGATCTGTTGTGCAGATGAAGAATGCGGACTACTTCTCCAACTATGTCACGGAGGACTTCACTACCTATATCAACCGGAAACGGAAAAACAACTGCCATGGCAACCACATTGAGATGCAGGCCATGGCGGAGATGTACAACCGGCCTGTGGAGGTGTATCAATATAGCACAGGTACTTCTGTGGTGGGTAGGTGAGCGACTGATGGACCTGGTCTGAGCCTGCCCACCCCACCCTGCCACGCCACGCCACGCCACGCCATGCCCCCTGTGGATGCTACTTCCTTCTCTTTTCTGCAGAACCCATCAACACATTCCATGGGATCCACCAAAATGAGGACGAACCCATCCGTGTCAGCTACCACCGGAATATCCACTACAATTCAGTGGTGAATCCCAACAAGGCCACCATTGGCGTGGGGCTGGGCCTGCCGTCATTCAAGCCGGGGGTAAGTATGTCACCATGCCCAAGATGGCTGTTGGATTTCGAGGCCAGAAACCTTTGTTTGGGTCTCCGTTTTGCTCCTAACCCACAAAAATGCCCTGCCCCCTCTCTGAGTGGCCTCTTAGTCTCACCTCTGTGAAATCAGGGAGTCACCCAAGGACATCTCTCAGGGCTCACTCTGTGGTCTGTTTATCTGTCTGAGCTGCTCACCCATTTTTGTGTCTACGGAGGGTTGGCATTTTGGGATACGGAGTCATATTAGGAACCATGAGCTAGGGCTTGGTCTGGGTGTCCTAAGTCCCCACATGGGTCCTCCTCTGAAACCGGCAGTTATAGACATCTGTGCTTACGGAGACTTGGAGTTCAGGCCTGGACCCAACGCTTCCTGGCTGTGGGACCGAGGGCAGATTCACAAGTCATTTGGGCTAGCAGCTTGGCTGATTCAGACAACGCCTAGCGCTGGGCCTGGTGCCTACGAGGTGCTCAGATGGTGGCAGTACACTCCCGGCACACACTGGCAGATTCTCATTCTCGTTCATAAATATTCGCCTGCTGGGGGTTTTGATATCTCCTATTCAGGTTTCACTTCCTACAAACAGAAAGTGCTCCTGTCTCATTTTAGGAAACACACACCCTAACACCAACACACCCTCCAACATCAGGGGTTTTTTTGTTTTGGTTTTTAAATACACTTTTAATTTTAGAACACGCTTCGATTTTAGCAGAATTATTATGCTCAGAGAATTCCCATATACCCAACTATGATTAACATCTTATTAGCATAGTACATGTGTCACAGTTAAGGAGCCAATATTGATAGATTAACTAAAGGCCATACTTGATACAGAATACCTCAGTTTTTCCCTAATGATCTTATCTGTTCCAGGATCATATTACACTTAGTTGTCATGTCTCCTTTGGCTCCTTTTCTGTGACAGTGTCTCTGGATTTCCGTGTTTTTGTTTTCGATCTGTTTACAGACTCTATCATTTCACCTTTTCTAGAATGTCATCTACTTGGAATTATACAGTATATAGTTTTTTCAATGTCTTGTTTCACATAACACTGCATTTAAGATTTTCTTACTTGATCACTTTTTTTTTAATTTTTACAAAAATATGAAGGCCTTAAGCTTATGAAAAACTAAGGAAGATAGTTCAGAGTTCCCTGCACCCCTCCTCCCCACACACAGTTTTGCTACTAACCTATCATGACTGTGACTCCTTTGTTACAATATGTGAACCAGTATTGGCACATTATTAGCTAAAGTCATCATGTCTCTTCAGGCTCCTTTGTCTGTAAAGGTTTCTCACCCTTTCATGTTTTTGATGGCCTTGACAGTTTTGAGGAGTACTGGTCAGGTATACTGTAGGATGTCTGTCTTTTGGAATTTGTTGTTTTTCTCATGGCTAGACTGGGGTTACAGGTTGCAGGAAGGAAGATCACAATAGTGAAGTGCCATTCTCATCACATCATATCAACAGTATGTACTGTGAACATGATTTGCGATTTGTTCTTGCCAGCAGTAGTGTTTGTTAGGTTTTCTCCACCATGAAATCACTCCTCCCTTCCCTTCACTCCCTTTTCTACTTTGCACTGTTTGGAAGGAACTCATTGTAGGCAAACTACGCTTAAGAAGTGGGTGTTGCCCTGGCCAGGCAGCTCAGGTGACTAGAGCATCTGCCTGGCAGGTCAAGGTTGCACGGACATCCCCGGTCAGGACACAGACAGGGGTCAGCCAGTGAATGCATAAATAAGATGTTTCTCTCTCCCTCCCCCTCTAAAATCAATAAATTAAAAATATTTTTTAAAGAAAAAAAAAAAGAAGTGGCTGTTGTGCTCCATCTCCTTGAGGGCAATATATTCACATAAATTATTGGAATTCTTGCAAGAGAGATTTGTCTCTTGTCCTCCATTTATTCAGCCATTTGCTTATGTCAATATGACTCGGATATTTATTTTATACTTAGGGTTATAATCCAATGCTCTTTTTATTTTGATGCTCAGATTGTTTCAGTTGTAGCTATTGGAAGCTCTCTCAGTTGGTTCCTGTCTCTTAGACATACCCCCATCATTGTGATGGGGTGTGTGTATTTCTTTTTGTGTGTGTGTGGTTTTTTGTTTTTAGCACTCCCTTACTTTCTGGTACTAAAAGTATTCTAGGCTCAGCTTGTCTATTTCCTTCCCTGGACTTAGAACCAGCCATTTCTCCCAGGGGCCCTGGTTCCATTTATTGGAATGTTCTTGGAAGGCATGGTCTGGGTGCTGAGTGCGCTCCTCAGTACTGGGGTGTCCTTCCTTCTAGGCCCTTCCAGCTGACTAAGGAGATACATATGTGTATACTAACCTGTGCGTATACATATATCCAGAAATATTTCTATGCATACCTATCCATATCTGCATGAAACCACTAGCTGATCAGTACTGCTTTGTTTTAAACTTTTCAATTTTCTAGTGACAAATGGTGTTGAGCATCTTTGCATGTGAATATGAAATTGTGTGTTAAGATTTTTTTGCCCGTTTTTAAATTGTCTTATTCTTTTTAAAAATATATATATTTTATTGATTTTTTTGTTTTTTAGAGAGAGGGATAGAGAGTTAGAAACATCGATGAGAGAGAATCATCGATCAGCTGCCTCTTGCACACCCCCCACTGGGGATGTGCCCACAACCAAGGTACATGCCCTTGACCTGAATTGAACCTGGGACCTTTCAGTCTGCAGGCCGACGCTCTATCAAACCGGTTTCGGCAAATTGTCTTATTCTAATAGAGAATTTCAGATACTTTTTGGACTATTATCCATAGGTAAAAAATTATATTTCACATCATTACTTTGTGCACACACACGTTGGTGTGCAGTATATGTCTATTAAAATAATGTTAAGCAATACTCACCTTTACTCCCTGGGATATGCTCTGATATTTTTTATTATTTTGGTTTTTAAAACGCAGTTGCATCTCACAGTCTTAACAAAGAGCACTCAGACAGTGTCCCACATCTCATAGCACCTCACGTCATGCTAATACTCCTCCTCGTCCCCTTAATAGCTGACTACTCCCTCCACCCTGTGCACAGACAGCTAACTCTCAGGGGATCTTTCCTCCTTGTGCCATCTGAGCATAGATGATGAAGGCCTCCACACTGGGAAACTGCCCTCACTGGGTAAGGCTTCTTTAAACTCCAGCCTGGGCTGGAGGGCACCTGGTTGCCCCAGACTGAGTACTTCACTTGAGTTGTCTTGGGAGCAGGGCTTCTGAGTATAGGAGTTTGGAACTACTAGTCCCACCACCCAAGCCTGCTTCTCCCCAGTCCCCGGTGGACAGGCACCCTGCCCAGGGGGTGCTTAGTAAGAGTACCTGCCTTCCTCTCTCCTCTTTCCGGGCCTGTGGGCCTACCTCCCTGGGCCAGATCCAGCTGCTGGCCCGGGTTCAGTGTCACCCCACTTCCTTGTTCCTCCCGCCTTTGCAGTTTGCAGAGCAGTCCCTGATGAAGAGTGCCATAAAGACATCGGAGGAGTCCTGGATCGAACAGCAGATGCTAGAAGACAAGAAGCGAGCCACGGACTGGGAGGCCACGAACGAGGCTATTGAGGAGCAGGTGGCTCGAGAATCCTACCTGCAGTGGCTGCGGGATCAGGAAAAGCAGGCCCGCCAGGTCCGCAGCTCCAGCCAGGTAGGTCCCAGGCTCTGTCCCTGGCCTGGCCAAGAAGCCATTGCTTCTCCAGCGCTGCCCCAAACGGCAGAAAATGACGCAGTTTTGGCATCTGGGAGAGAAGGAAGCTCCCAGTCCTATCTGTACCTCATCTTGGCCTCGGTCTTGGCACTGTGCCTTAGAACTCTCAACATCTGTGCAGGACAAGCTCTTAAGGAGTGAGAGCGGGAGAGCAGTGACCGGTGGTGGAATACAGGATGGGTGGATAGTTTGAGAGGGACAAACTTTTGTTGAATGTCCTTGTGCACCAGGCTCTGTGCTGAGAATATAAAACCAGCTCCAGCCTGCTCCGCCCTCAGCGGTCCCCTGTCCATTGAGGGACACAGAGGCATCAGTGGGGCCCCTGACCGTGGGTAGGAGACCACTGGAGATGGGGCTCCAGTTAGTATTCACACAGGACGGTTGAACATGTCAGGGCAGGGACAGGACAGGATATACAGACATCTGAGGAATCACAAAGAGTTTAGCGTGATTGTAGATGTTGGCAAGCGCTGAGTTAGTTGTTCAACAAATATTTATTGTAGGTCTATGCCTGTACTGTTCTGGGTGTACAGAGGTGCACTGGTGAGCCAGGCTGGCCCACGTCCTGTCCTTGTGATGCTTGCATTTTTGCAAGAGTGGGACAAAATAAACAGCAAACATGATGAATACATTGGTGTAGAGGTGGTATGGATGGAAAAAAACATAGAGAAAAGGGAATAAGTGGGGCTGGGAGTTCACAGTATTAACTAGTGTGGGCATAGCGGCCCCAGGACAGGGGAGATTTGAGCAAACACTAGCCATAGGTGAGGGCAGTAGCTAAGGGCATGTGCCCAAGCAGAGAGAGGACCAGCTAGAGCAGAGGCCCTGAGGCAGCACACGCCTGCTGGGGTTCGGAGCGGCCGGAGGCCAGCGAGGCAGGACGGAAGTCAGAGGGGCAGTGAGGCCGGATTGGGAAGGGGCCCGTGGGCCGTGGTGAGGACTTGGGCTTTTGTTCTGAGCGAAGCAGACTCATGGAGGGCTGTGAGCAAAGGCGGATTAGGATCTGACTTAGGGTTTCACAGGTTGCAGGACGCAGTCTGAGGGCAAGGGTAGAACAGGGGACCAGTGCGGAGGAGGCTGCTACAGTAGTTCAGGTGGCACAGGCAAGAAGGGGGGAGAGTTGGGAGGCACTCTGGGTCTGTTTTGAAGCTGGCTGTGAGGGCGTGAGGAGGGTTAAGGAGCTTCCCTCCATCCTCGGGTCCATTGTGTGACTGGGAGTGATGGTGACCCATGTAGAAGCTGTGTCGCAGCCGGGACTCCCAGGGATGGGGCAGAGGAAGGCTGAGGCTGTTGTCGGTTCTTACCTCTTACTCCTTCCTTTCCCACAGCAGCCCCGGAAAGCCAGTGCCACATGCACTTCCGCCACAGCAGCCGCCTCCAGTGGCCTGGAGGAGTGGACTAGCCGGTCCCCGCGGCAGCGGTCACCTGAGCACCCTGAACTGCATGCCGAGCTGGGCATGAAGCCCCCTTCCCCAAGCACTGTCTTAGCTCTTGCCAAACCTCCTTCACCCTGTGCACCAGGTCAGTGGCGTGCTGACAGGGAGCATGCAGGGCTTAGGAGGTGCCGCCTCGGTCCCGGGCCCTGTCTCTGACTGTCCATCTGCCCCAGGTACAAGCAGCCAGTTCTCAACAGGGGCCGACCCAGCGACTTCCCCCCTCGTGTCCCTCTACCCTGCTCTGGAGTGCCGGGCCCTCATTCAGCAGATGTCCCCCTCTGCCTTCGGTAAGCCGCCTCTGGCCAGGAGCCAGGGCCAGCCGGGAGCTGGGGAGAGATGGGAGGAGCAGTGTGCCTCTGGGGTGGCTCTGGAGCCTCTGGCCAGCTCTGCAAGAGAAGAGAATCCTTTAGGCCCAAGAGGTCTGTCCCATGGGGGTTCTAAGCGGGCTTTATAGGCCCAGAGGAGCCTTCTCATAGGAGCGAGAGGGGACTGGATGGGCTATTTGCAGGGTCAGGGGTCAGTGAGCGCCGAGGAAAAGGCACTCCATCATCTTTTCTCCCTTCTTCCTGACCCACAGGTCTGAACGACTGGGATGACGACGAGATCCTGGCTTCGGTGCTGGCAGTGTCCCAACAGGAATACCTAGACAGTATGAAGAAAAACAAAGTGCACAGAGATCCGCCACCCGACAAGAGTTGATGGAGACCCAGAGACTGGAAACCGTCTCCCAACCCCACCACTCCTGCCCTCCGGTGCCGCCTCACCTCTGGCTTTCTTCCTTCTTGCCGTCTTCCTCCCCTCTCTCGCCTCCTCTCCTCCTCCCCACCTCCCTCTGCCGGCCCACCCCTGCACCTCTCTCTTCGCTGCCGCTGCCGCCATCATTGTCTCTTCCCCAGCTGACGTGCCCTGCTGCCCCCCGCACAGCACCATCCCTGCAACCCACAGGGGACTCGGGCAAGGGTGCCGAAGGTAGGCGAGAGGCACAGAGACCACAACTGGCAGCCAGGCAGCCCCGAGGAGAGACATTCAGACAAAGGAAAGCCTCCCTGACCCCCCATTCCTCCCGAGTTCAGCAGACCTTGTCCCCCCACCTCTACGACTATGCCAGGGAAAGTGGGAGGAAGAAACGGGGGTCCCCCTTCCCAGAACCCTAAGAATGTCTGAGCCTTCAATGTTGAATTTTTTTCTTTATTAAAATGTACTTTTATCTTATAAAATTAACCAGTCACAAATGACGTAGATAACAGCATTGACTCTATGAAGGTGGCATCTCTCCGGTTTGGGGGCAGGCAGGCAGGCAGGGGGGCACAGAGGGCGCACAGGGACGTGCTGCTGTCTCTGGCCGCCCAGCTCCGTGGAGATGGGCGGGGTCTGAGTACGAGCCAGGGCGGAGTAGGGGGCCCAGGGTAGCAGGTGTCCCACGGGCTTCGGACAATAAACTCTGACCTCACTGCATTCCTATCGCTTCCACCGCCGCCAGTCCCTGCGATCGTGGGCTGGGGGCACCTCTGAGGATGATAGCCGCCACTCAGGATCTGAGTGTGGGGAGTGGGAGCAGCCTTGGCAGATGGGGCACGCGTGCCCTGCAGGTGTTGACAAGATCCGCCATCTGTAATGTCCTTGGCACAATAAAACCAAATGTCAGTTTCCCTGGAGCGCCTCTATTCTGTGTGGGGCAGAGTGTGGGTGTGTGGTGGCGGGGGTGGTCTCTGGGCAGAGCCAGTGTGGGGACAGGCTTCGGCTTGACCTCTGAGGGCCACACGCTCTCCAGGAGGGTCTCTCTGGGGCGCCGTTTGTTCCTGTTTGACTCACTGCTTACTAAGACACCTCTGGACCGGTTACCACCGAGAAAGCTCCATCCATCGGGCTGCCCAGCGCTGGCACAGGAGGTAGTCTCTGCCTGCCTTCTTTCCTGGGCTGGTTTGGGAGCAGAGGACTGAGCTGAGGGCAGGGACTGAACTTCCAGCTCCTCTGCCTGCCTCTTTCGCCACAAATGTTTGCTCTTGTGATCGTTTGATGAGGAAACATTTGCAAAGTACAGTAGAAGCTTCCCAGGAGTTCAGTGGAAGGGGCCAGAGGGACCTCCCCTGCTGGTTTTAGAAGCTGAGGAATGGCTCAACCCTTTTCTGTTTGTCCTGTCCCCCAGTTCTGACAGTTCTGTGTCCCGGCCCTCCTGGGGGTAGAGCCAAGGCAGAGAAGGATGGCTGGCCCCAGGTTTTGCCACGTGTCTTTTTTGCTGTGCCTCCGTAGCGGGGCCCCTGGGGAAGGATGCGTGCCCAACCCCACAGGTGAGAGCGTGGCTGGTCGAGTGGCTGTCGGGGGGGATGTATGAAATCATTGTTCGAGCATGTGTGTGCTGGCGACTTGGTTTGAACACTTCCTCAGCTTTTTCTTGCCATTTAGCCTTGGTCATATCACAGGCTCCGAGTTTCAAGTGGCCCATTTGTACAACAGGGGTGATTAATGTCTGCTATCTCACCCTCTGATTGTGAGCATTGAGAGAGAATGCATATGGTCAACATAATGAATGATGGCACCGTGCCTAGCACATTCCAAAAGCTCAAATGTTAGTAGATATTTATTCTACTGTTGAAATGTAAGCACATTTGCCCCTGCCTACTTATTTTTGCCTCCAGTTACCTTGGGCCTGTGCCTAGAATTGGCCCTTCTCCTGTCCTGAGCCCCAGACCTTGTCTTTCCAGATGTGTAAGGGTCTCCTCCTGAGAAGCTCTGTTACCTCATCCACATTCTCCCATCTAGCTATAAATGTCTTTTGAAAATATGCTTTTTATTGATTTCACAGAGAGGAAGGGAAAGGGAGAGGGAGAGAAACATCAATGATGAGAGAATCATGGATCGGCTGCCTCCTGCATGCCCCCTACTGGGGATCGAGCCTGCAACCCGGGCATGTGCCTTGACCAAGAATCAAACCATGACCTCCTGATTCTTGGGTCTACACTTAACCACTGAGCCACACTGGCCGGGCCAAATATGTCGTTACTCCTTCCCCAATAACTACTATCAACTTCCTCGGTAAGGGCTATGGTGCCTGACTTATCAATCTCCCACTGTAAGCCTCCCACCAGGGTCTGGGAGGCTTACAGTAGACCCCTAATGAATGTCAGGTGAATAAAGGAGAGTACATGTGTGTATTTGCTTTGTGGGTGTTGTCTGTGTATATGTTACTGTAGTGAGCTCCAGTCTTTATGCGCATCTCATGGAGTGTTGATAGTTGTGTGTGTGATGAGGGCCTGTTTCCAGGTGTGCCAGCTGATGACAGTTGTGTCTGTTTCTGAGACTGAGTGCATGTCTGTGTGGTTCTGTCTGTGATGGCCATCTGGTTCTTTCTGATGGGTGGCTGTCCATTGGTGTTCCTGTGATGGATTCTGGACAGCTGTTTCTGGACAACGTCAGTGCTGTATGCGCGTGGGTATATGCATGTCTGTGGCTGGATCTGTCTGCGTCTGTTTTGTGACACTGCCTATCTGTGTGGTTCTATCACATACATATGTCTGCCTTTGCAGCAGTGCATGTGTGTCTCGAGCATCTGTGTGGCTTCCTGTGACAGACTCTGGGACAGTGCAAGTCTTTATGTGACAGTGCACATTTGATGGTGCCGGTGTCTTTGTGACAAGTCTTGGTGGTGTGTCTGATGGCCATTTCTGTGTCATTGTCACATGGTAATGTTGGTCTACGTGAGTCTCCGGAGTGCCTGTCTTCCTGTGACTGTGTCTCTGTGTCATTCTGGGACATGACTCTGGCAGCATGCTGCCTGACAGTGGATGTAGCTCTTTGTGACAGTGCGCGTCTGCATGTGTGTCTAAGACAAGTTTACATGAATGTGATGATACGTATTTGTATATATCTCACATAGTACTTCCATGTGTGTCTCTCTGGAGTGCATGTCTGTCTTCCTGCAGCATGAGGCCCGGCTCTGTTTTTCTCAAATTTGTGACTAAGGGTATTTTCCCACCTCTCAGCCCCTGTCTCTCACCTGGAGCACACCCCCAAGCCACCACCACTGGCTTGCTCCCACATCTCAGGAACTGCGCCCCCACCCCCACCCCGGCTCCACCCGCCCTTCCAGATTCTGGACCTGCTGACTGGGCTCAGAGCTGGCTGGGTTTAACCAGGTCTGTCTTAGGTAAATAACTCCAAAACACCCCCTCAGGCCGCCTCTCTGATGCTGCCTTTGACCAGCATGCTCTTGTAGTGGTCAGGGGCTTACCCTCCCTGGCAGCTGAACAGGATCCTCCAGGATCCCTGGCTGCAGTTTCGGGGGCAGAGGCCATGGGCCGCCTAACCTAGAGGCCCCTTGTCCATGGTCCATGGATTCTGGATAGCCACTGGCCCAGATTCTTAGGAGCTGGGCCTGGCCTTATCTCCGTGCTCATCTTGAGGCAGCAGCAAACCAGCTTCCTAGGAAAGGAGGGGGTGCAGCTTTTTTTTAAGTTTTTATCTATATATACATATAGGATACGCACATATATAAAAACAACCAAAACAAATGCAGTTGCTGCATAGGGATTCCCAGAACCGGTTTCCTCTTCGCGCGCGCCCCCTCATTTGCATGTAAACCCCGCCCCCACGGAAGATCCGGGCGCGTATTTGCATAAGGGGGTACTTGAGACCTGGAGAGGGTGGTATGCAAATGAGGGCGGGCTCCGATTGGCTGCGGTACAGCAGGTGCCGCGTCCGGATTGATCAAAGCCAAGTGGGCGGGGCCGTCGCTCCGAGCGACTCTCTCGGGAGGCGCGTGCCCCGGCTCAGTAGCGTTGGGGCTGGCGAGCGCGACGAATCAGAGCACTGCGCCGTCTGTGGGCGCTTCTGGGCCACCGGCTTCTCCGCCTTCCACCCTGGCGCCCCCAAGTCCTGGCTCCCCATCCTCGCTGCCCAGGGCGTCGACGCCCTGCGGGCTCAGCGGGCTCAATCTGCGCAGCGCCTCCTCCATGTTGAGCAAACCTCTTCAGGGGCTTGCGGTGGCCCCGGTGACCCCCACACCGCCGCCAGGTGAGCGAGGCTTCTTTGCCGCTACAGGCCGGGCGGGCAGAGACGATGGAGGGCGACCCGGAGGGGAAGACGGGGAGGGGGGCTCGCGGCGGGGCTCCGCACGCGGCCACCCTGACTTCCTCGCCTCTGCCTGCGTAGGAGGCAAGGATCGGGAAGCGTTCGAGGCCGAGTACCGACTCGGCCCCCTGCTGGGAAAGGGGGGCTTTGGCACGGTCTTCGCAGGACATCGCATCACGGACCGGCTCCAGGTACCCGCCACGAGGATGCGGGAGGGTCAGGTGTGCGTGCGGCGGGGGCGGGAGGCCGGCGGCTGGGCTCCTGATTGCCTGGGAACGATCCCACAATATTGTAAGGTCAGGTCCGAGGAGCCGGCACCCGGCTCGCAGGGGGGCGTCCGAGCCCGCGCCCGTGTGAGTGCGTGTGTGGCGACTCAGGTGGGCGCGTGGGGGAGGGGCGGGGGTTTGGGAGGGCCGGAGAGGGAGACGGGATCGGGCTTCCTAAGGACTCGAGACCCCGGGATCCAGGGGACGCGTACATGTGTGTGAAGATGGGGACGCAGAGCTGAGATTTGGGGGATTTGGGAGGCAAGGTCTCCGGCTGGGAATTGGGAGGACCGGGACTCCGGGACTCAGTCGGGCATCTTGGGGCTGGATTTGGAAGATGGAGCGCTTGGGTGTGAAGAAATTTGGAGCTGAGAACCTGGACTGCGAGGGTCTGGGCTTGGGAACGGAGCTCAGGGCCGAGAGCGGAGGGCGGTGGGAGAGGTGAACTTGGTCCCGGGGACTTGGCGGGCCAGGGAGAGGTCCCCGGCTCCTTGGGGGTCCTGGTGTGGTGTGGTTGGGGCCACAAAGACTAGGTAGGATGAGGCTCGGGACCGAGAAGGAGCTGGGGGTCATCTTCCAGCCCTTTAACCCCAGCCCGCTTCTCCAGGTGGCCATCAAAGTGATCCCCCGGAATCGCGTGCTGGGCTGGTCCACCCTGGTGAGTATCCTCGGAGCCCTCCCTGACCTGGTGGCGCCATAGCTGGCGAGGGGCTCAGACGCCCCCTAGGGCTTGTTCTCCCTGGGCCCTGCTCCTGACGAGATCACTCCTCCCAGCCCGTGTTTACTCCCCTGCGGTGACATCTACACCTCCACACAATTCTGACTCACCCCAGTTCCCCCCGAGCCCCGGATTCTCCCCTCCAGCCCCCCTCTCTCGTCCTCCTCCAAATGCTGCCTCAGGGGCTGCCCGCGGGGCATGCTGGTGGGAAAGGGGGGGGCCAGAGGTCACTGGTTGCCATGGCGACGGTGGCTGCTTCTGTGCCGTTAGCGCGCTACGGACGGCAGGGCGGGTCTGGGCCAGTTGTAAGTGCGGCAGCGCCCCCTGGCGGGAGCTGGGGAGGCGCGCCTGCGCAGTAGCGGGATTTTCATCGCCCTGAGAAAAACCTGTCTGCAGCTGTGCACATCGGCGGCGTGGCCAGCAGAGGGCGCCCTCTCAGGCAGAAAGGCCGCTTCTGCAGGTCCTTGGGCCCACGTGGGTCTAGAGGGGCGGCTTTTGTGGCTAGTACCATTAACGCCCTTTACTGAGCCCCAAGGTATGCCCCAGGTTTTGCTAAATCATAAAAAGCTTACAATATTCCAAGTCCAACTAATCACTTCCATTCACCCTGGTTCTAGATGCTTAGTAACAGGAAAAAAAATACCATGATAACATTGAGTTCTTCATTTGTGCCTGTTCCTTTACCATCGCTCCCTTTCAGCTATTTAACTAAAGTATATTGAGTACCTGCTATGTCCCAGGCACAGTTCTAGGCACTAGAGGAAAGGTTACCTTTATTGAAAGCTCAGTTTGTGGCAGCTCCCTTTCCACTAATTGCTTTCACCTAGTGACCACATACTATGTATGGAGCCCTCCCCTGTTACCAGGCACTGAGCTAGTGCTTGACTATGTCAGTGAGCAAAGCAGAAAGCATTACACAGTAATGGTATTTATTTAGTGCTAGCTCTGGGCCAGATGCTCTGCTGTAAAGTGCTTTCACCTATTGCACACTTACTGAGCACCTACTGTGCATAGGCTGCTGTCTAAACTCTTTGGAGATGTCAGGGAACAAAACAGAAGATATCCCCTAACACAGTCTTTCTTTACGAACCACTTTTATCCCCGGCCCGTGTGGCTCAGTGGTTACAGTTTCCGCCCATGAACCAGGGTTTGATTCCCGGTCCAGGGCACTGTGCCTCAGTTGCAGGTTCAATCCCCAATCCCTGTTGTGAGTGGCAGGTGATGATGTGCCTAATGTTACTGTTTCTCCCCAATCCCTCCACTCTAAAAGTCAATGGGGAAAATATCCTCCTAGGGTGAGGATTTAAAAATTTTTTTAAAAAAAAGGAACACTTTTATCTGCTCTTGAAATATTCACTGAACCTGGGAGGCTGAGGGGCTAGGATTTAAGTTCAGGCCAGAAGTCAGCCTCACAGCTCCGGTCTAATGTCTGTGTTCCCTTCTCTCCCCCTTTGCCCCCGCAGTCGGAGACAGAGTCGGTCACATGCCCGCTGGAGGTGGCGCTGCTCTGGAAGGTGGGTGCAGACGGTGGGCACCCCGGTGTGATCCGGCTGCTCGACTGGTTTGAGACCTCCGAGGGCTACATGCTGGTCCTTGAGCGGCCTCTGCCGGCCCAGGATCTCTTTGACTACATCACTGAGCAGGGCCCGCTGGGCGAAGAGCGGAGCCGCTGCCTCTTCACCCAGGTGGTGTCGGCCGTGCGGCACTGCCACGCCCGGGGGGTCGTGCATCGCGACATCAAGGATGAGAACATCCTGATAGACCTCCGCCGAGTGTCTATCAAACTCATTGATTTTGGTTCCGGTGCCCTGCTTCATGATGAGCCCTACACTGACTTTGACGGTAAGGCTTTTCTACATCTCAGGGGGGAGACTTTTTTTTACCTTTTGATGAATTTTTTCCTTTTGATGGCCTCTTGACCTTTGATCTCCCGTGCTGGGGCATCACCCTTGACCTGCACTGTAACTTTATAAGGTTCAGGATTTTTGATATTGAGGCCTCGACCTCTGGTAAAGCCCATCTTCTCCCGGTGCCCTGACCTTGTTCTGGCTTTTATTCTGGTGGGGGTTCCTGTTTCCTGGTAAGGGTAGCCTTCCATTACTTTTAAGCGCCTTTCTATGAGGGGACTCCGTTGTCTTTAGTGCTCTTACTCTGGTGATGAGGCCTGCTGCTATATTTAAAGAGCTACTGTGGTGACAGGACTAACTTCCTGGGTAGTGGGGGGGGTGGAAATAAGGGCGATACCAAAGAATGGTCTAACCTCTGGCTTGCATGCAGGGACAAGGGTGTACAGCCCCCCGGAGTGGATCTCTCGCCACCAGTACCATGCCCTCCCGGCCACCGTCTGGTCCCTGGGCATTCTCCTCTATGACATGGTGTGCGGGGACATTCCCTTCGAGAGGGACCAGGAGATTTTGGATGCTGAGCTCCACTTCCCGGACCATGTGTCCCCAGGTGAGGCCCTCACTAGCCCTAGCCCAGGGGACCCCGCCCCTCCCAGGGACTAGACCCCAACTAACTGCCATTTTCCTGTGTGTTTCCGCCCTGCAGACTGTTGTGGCCTAATCCGCCGGTGCCTGGACCCCAAACCTTCTGCTCGACCCTCCTTGGAGGAGATCCTGGTGGATCCCTGGATGCAGACCCCAGAGGAGGATGCACCCCCTGACACCCCTAAAGGGGGTTCCGCCCCTTTGGCCTGGTCCCTGCTGCCCTAGTTGGGTTGTCCCCTGGCCACCGCCACGGGGATTACACATCCGTTGATCTGGTTTTACAGGTCATTACAAATCCAGTGTTACTAGGGTCAGAGATTGGGGACCAGGGGTCAGAAAACAAGCCAAGTCTGCCCAGTCCCCATCCCAATCCCGTTAAGGGGCCTCCCTCCCGGAATCTGTGGTTGCTCATTCTGGAGCGGGGGGCGCTTCTTAGCTTCTCATCTTACTAAGTAACAGTTTGTTTGAAGTCAATTCCATTCTGAGCCCCTGGAATCCGTGTTACAACCCTCACTCTGGCACCTCCTGCCTGCTACACCACACGAACTTAGTTGAAATGCTCTAACTTGGGCAGGGTGCTTTCTGTTGGAATACGCCAGCAGCTCTTACTTTTAGCCAAGGGACTGTGTTCTAGCTTAGGTTAAGGTTCCACGTTCAGTCAAGCTGCTTGCCTACCTCAGCCCAGGGTTGATTATTCTGGGGGAGGTAATGCCCTATTGTTACCCCAGGGCTTTTTTTTTTTTTTCCTCCTCCTCCTCCTTCTTCTTCTTTTTTTGGTGAAGGGACGCTACTCTGTTATTCCAAGTGCTCTTATTCTGGTGAGGAGAAAACCCTACTTCCAAGATGTGGGAAGGAAGGGAGATGGACACCACCAGAGTCCACTGGGATGGGTTGGATGGTTTCGGGGGATAGGGTGGGGGAAATAAGTCTTGTTTGTTCTCCTAGGGCCTCCCCCTCCACCTTTTTTTGGATTCTTGCTGCCTCCTTCTGAGCCAGGATTGTCCAGTTGCTGAAATGTAAATACTTATGTATTAGGAGGAAGGGAGCTCCAACTGTGTCATCCTCTCCCTTCTCCACATGCCTGGATTATTTAAAAAGCCATGTGTGGACACCCACTATTTAATAAACGTACTAGAATCACAAACCACTGGCCAGTTGTAGTTGTGTGGTGTTTGTGGAGCATCTGCTGCGCGCGCTGAGCCAAGAGGGAGACGGAGTGATCTCGCCTCTGCCCTCGGGAAGCCCGTCTTGTGGGGCCATCCTACAGGTCTCTTAGGGATTCGCACACAACTACTGACAGCAGCGCCCCTTCCCCAGCTCCTATGTAGTGACCAGAGTGCGGGAGGGCTCCACGGGAGACATACTGAAGCTATTTGGAACATCCCTGATGGAAGGTGGCTAGCTTATGGGCAGGGAAAATGGCTTCCCTCCAATCCAATCTCATGGGAAAGCAACCCTTTCCGGGCTCGGGTGAGGGCGGGCTGGGTTTGAGGGCAGAGGGACCTTACCAGCCCTTGATTTCTAACACCTGTTTGGCCGTTACCTTTTCGCCTCTCCCTTTGACCCGGAAGTGCTCATCTCTGTCCCTTAATTCTGGACTTCTCTTCCCTAGTCTCTTGTTTTCACTTGTCCCCACCTCCGCTGTTACCTCTCTTGCCCTGCTTTCAAAAGCTAACTCATAAGCCTCTCGCCTGCACGCTAACCAGTCCACTTAGTTCCTTTTCCATCTCGATGTTGGCTTCCTTTCCCTCCTTCTCTGGCTCCATTAAATTCCCCTGTGCCTTCTCCCTGGCATATCCTAATTCTAAGCTGCCCTGGTTAGATCACCTGGCTGCCTGCACCTGCCCGCCTCCCCAAACACCATCTTGCTTCCAAAAAGCCCGAAGGAGCACAGGGGGTGGGTCCTCTCTTGGCGAGGGGAAAGGGAAACCAGTCCAACCAGGAAAGACCGGGTTTGGGTTTGGGTTTGGGAGGCGCGGTGCCAGCCGAAGACCATGCCAATGAAGAGCCGGGACTGGAGCGGGGCAGCCGGGCCAACGAGCCGCGGGGCCGGGGCGGGCGGGCGATCCGGGGAGCGGGATCCATGGAGAAGGAGGGCGAGCTGGCCCACGCGCGATCCGAGTCCCGGGGCTGCACCCCCGGGCGATCGGGACCAGACAGGGAAAGCCCCTGCTCCAGCGGCCCTGCCCTCGCCCCGGCTCACCCTGGAGGCCCGGAAGCGGAAGTGACAGACACGGAAGTGGCCCGCTGTTGCCGAGGGGACGGGCCAGGCAGATGCCAACATGGCAGCGGTCGGGTCTGGCTGTTCCTCCGCGGCGGCCGGGCCGGGGGTGGTCTCCGCGGGGGCGCTGGAGCCCGGGACCATGAGTGCGGGTGAGGCGGGGGCGGCGGGGCGGGGGCCGGATCGCGGGGGGATGTCAGGGAGGCGCCTGCCTGAAGCGAGCGGGAGCACCCCCTATGCACCGACCGGTGTGTGCAGCGGGGTGAGGCTGGGCGGGGAGGGGAGCAGGAGCAGACCATCGGGAGGGTGCTGGGGGCGGGAGGAATCAGCCCCCAGCGGGGCGAGGGGCGTCTCTTCTGCATGGGAGCGGAGGGGCTGTCTGAGGCCAGGGGGCTGTGTCCTCGTGGGGAGGCTAAGGCCATTCTGAGGGTGTGAGGGGGTCCATGGAGGGAGAGACCCCTCCGAGGGCGGGAGAGCTCTTTCTTTCTGGAACGGACAGGCTCTTCTGGGGGGAGGTTCTTCGCCAGAAAGGGAAGGGGCTGTTGTGAGTTGGGTGGGGCAGGTCCTTATGGGATTCAGAGTCCATTTTGGGGATGGGGATGGCCATTATATGGGGAGCAGGCCATCTGGGGGTCCCCTCACGATGGAGGGTTATATGTTGGAGTGAAGGGGGGGCAGACCTTCCTCGTGTGGCAGAGAAGGGACGCTCTGAGGGTGCCAGGCTGTTCCTCACAGCCAGGATTGTTCATTGTGTGAGTGGAACAAGGACTCCTTCTCGGCTGGAGGTAGAGGAATGCAGTGGTTGGAGGGCTGGGCCGTGGGGAGGGAAGGGACATTTCCTTATAGCGTTCAAGGAACCAGACCGTTTCTGCTGAAGTGATCCCTGATTATGTGGGGCTCAATCCTTGGGACAGTGCGGAAATCCTATCTTATTTGTTAGAATCAGGCGTCTTCAAACTACGGTCCGCGGGCCACATGCGGCCCGCAGAGGAGTCTGATCCGGCCCACCAGGTTTTTTGGGCAGTGAGCGCAGCCGAGGTGTTACAGCAGGAATTAGTAGTTCATATAGTCCGGCCCTCCAGCTCTCTGAGGGACCGTGATCTGGCCCCCACTTTAAAAAGTTTGAGGACCCCTGTAAGACGATTTGGGGTCCGAAAGAATCTGTCCTCATCGGAGGGAGGGGTTGGAGAGACCATTCAGAGGGTGGGAGAAAGGCTGTTTCTTAGGAACTGAGCCTGCTGTCTACACTGCTCTCCTTCCCTGGATCAGAGTATCATTCTTTTTAAAAATATATATATATACTATTAATTTTTCTACAGAGAGGAAGGAGAGGGATAGAGAGTTAGAAACGTCGATGAGAGAGAAAGATCGATCAGCTGCCTCCTGCACACCCCCCACTGGGGATGTGCCTGCCACCAAGGTACATGCCCTTGAATCAAACCTGGGACCCTTGAGTCCAAAGGCCACAGGCCGATGCTCTATCCACTGAGCCAAACCGGCTAGGGCTAGAGTATCATTCTTTACATGGGTCATCCCCTCATTAAATAGAAGCAACATTCTATAGAAATCTTCAGTTAGCTCATCCATAAAATGGGAATCCTTATAGCTCCTTCAGAGATCAGAGCACCATTGGGCTCTGTTGTAATCCATATAAATCCCTTAGCCCAATGATAGGCACACAGTAGGCACTCAATAAATGTGGAGAGTTAGTTGAGAATGTAGTTGCTAGATGGGAGAGAGTTGCTTCTCACTCAGGGGAAGCGGGGTGTCCAGGGCCTGCCCTGGCCATTTCCTAATACCCCCAGAAGGGTTCCGGGAATGGGCCTGGCCCGCTTCTACCTTTCTGGATCTTCTTCCTGTGGCCCTCATCAGGTTAGGATGAGGCAGAGGGAGGAGAAAGCAGTGGTGGCCAGGAGGATCCTGGTTGAAAGGGGGGAGGAGAGAGTGGTGGTAGGGCTTTGCTCCTAGCAGCCTCTGGCACCATCTTCACCTTTGCTCCTTCCGTTCCCCACAGCTCACCGGCGCCTCAAATACATATCCCTGGCCGTGCTGGTGGTCCAGAACGCCTCCCTCATCCTCAGCATCCGCTACACCCGCACGCTGCCTGGAGACCGCTTCTTTGCCACTACCGCAGTGGTCATGGCCGAGGTGCTCAAAGGTCTCACCTGCCTGCTGCTACTCTTCGCACAGAAGAGGGGTATGGACCAGGGAGGGGGCTGTCCTGGAGTCATCTGGGAGGATTCTGCGTGCGTGCATGCGTGCGTGTGCGTGCGTGTCTGTGTGTGTGTGTGTGTGTGTGTGTGTAGATCTACACCCACATGGAAGGTTTGCTGGGAAATATCTCTGTCTCTGTAGAACTGCCTGGAAAGTGTGTAAGTGCAGCCAAGCTGCCTTGTTCCACCAGCTATGAGTAGCCCCTTTTAAAATATATATATATATTACTAATTTTTTACACAGAGGAAGGGAGAGAGAGTTAGAAACATCCATGAGAGAGAAACATTGATAGTTGCCTCCTGCACACTCCCTACTAGGGATGTGCCCACAACCAAGGTAAGTGCCCTTGACAGGAATCGAACCTGGAACCTTTCAGTCTGCAGGCCGATGCTCTATTCACTGAGCCAAACCGATTTCGGCTTCTTTCACTTTTTCTTATGAGGAGCTTCAAACACATGATCAGAGAGAATGATGAAATAGGAATATATCCATGTACCCATCACCCAAATTCAACAATTATCAACTGATAGCCACTCTGATATTAAACAGTGTCAGTGAGCCCTAGCCGGTTTGGCTCAGTGGATAGAGAGCATCGGCCCTCAGATTGAAGGGTCCCAGGTTTGATTCCGGTCAAGGGCATGTACCTCAGTTGCAGGCTCCATCCCCGGGAGGCAACCAATCAATGTGTCTCCCTCACATTGATGTTTCTCTGTCTCTGCCTCTCCCTTCCACTCTCTAAAAATCAATGAGACAATATCCTCAGGTGAGGATCAATAAAAAACAAAACAAAAAAACAACCAGCGTCAATGATTATCCCCTCACTGCCAATCTATATGTCTGCCTACCTATGCCTTCACCTTATTATACTGAACTACAGTAACTCCTCACTTAATGTCATCAGTAGGTTCAGCGACTTTAAATGAAATAATGTATAATGAAACTAGTTTTACCACAGGCTAATAGATAGAAATGAGTTAAATTCATAGGCACTTCAATAGTTATAACACAATAACAAAGAAAACTGTTAGTTGAGGGCCTGCCCTATGTCCCACATGAAGTATTTTTTTTTTAAATATGCTTTTTGTTGATTTCAGAGAGGAAGGGAGGGAGAGATAGAAACATCAATGATGAGAGAGAATCATGGATCGGCTGCCTCCTGCATGCCCCACACTGGGGATCGAACCCACAGCCCAGGCCTGTGCCCTTGACTGGAATCAAACCCGGAACCCTTCAGTCCACAGGCCGATGCTCTATCCACTGAGCCAAACCAGCTAGGGCGTCATAAACATTTTTTTAAATATATTTTATTGATTTTGTACAGAGAGGAAGGGAGAGAGAGAGAGAGCTAGAAATATCAATGAGAGCGAGTCATCGATCAGCTGCCTCTTCACACCCCCTACTGGGGATATGCCCGCAACCAAGGTACATGCCCTTGACCGGAATCGAACCCAGGACCCTTCAGTCCTCAAGCCGATGCTCTATCCATTGAGCCAAACCGGTCTCGGCATAAACATTTTAAAAAATGTATTTGAGTCAGGTTTTTTTGTTGAATTTATTGGGGTGACATCGGTTAATAAAATTATATAGGTTTAAGGGGTACAGCAATTCTGTATTACATCTGTATATTATCTATTCACCACCCCAAGTCAAGTCTCTTTCCATCACCATTTTTCCCCCCCTTTATCATCTCCAACCTCTGCCCACCCCACCCCTTTCTCTCTGGTAATCACCATACTATTGTTTGTCTAGACCAGTGTTTTTCAACCTTTTTTGGGCAAAGGCACACTTGTTTCATGAAAAAAATCACGAGGCACACCACCATTAGAAAATGTTAAAAAATTTAACTCTGTGCCTATATTGACTATATATAAAGTAATTCTCTTGAATAGGAATCAAATAACACAAAGAAAGTATTTTATAATTACTTTATTATGAAATATTAAGTAAACAAAATAGTGAAAAATTATAAAATTCTTGTCTTGTCTGCACCTACGGCACACCAGGCAACATCTCGCCGCGGAACAGCGGTTGAAAAATGCTGGGTGTTTTTATTTGTTTGTTTGTTTTTTATTAATCCTTCACCCTTTTCACCCAGCTGCCCACCACCCTCCCCTCTGACAGCTGTCAATCTGTTTTCTGTAGGAGTGTTTGAGTCAAGTTTACATCAAGATCAGTGAGTTGTACTTGGTCTAACCTGTAGATTTCCCTCCAATTCTCTCTCTCTCTCTCTCTCTCTCTCTCTCTCTCTCTCTCTCTCTCTCTCCTTAATTTGTTGAAGAAACCAGGTCATTTGTCTTGTAGACTTCAGGTAACCTAGATTTTGCTGACTGCCTCGCAGTAGTTCTGTCCTCTGTATTTAACATGTTCTTCTGTCCTCTGTAATTCCTATAAGGCAGCTTTACCTCCTCATTTACACACCCCTGAAAGCCTGCTTCTTTCCAATGTTGTCAAGTCATTGCTCTCTAAAGGCCTTGCACGTGGCTCTGCCCTCAGCACTTACATCGAACAAGCCCTTCTTACCCACTTCTTTAGCTCCAGGGCCCTAGGGGACAGCAGTTTAGGGACCTACCTGCTCTTGATTGATTCTCAGACACTTTCTAGCAAACTCTGCATGGCGGGCTTGGAGTGTCAGCAGCGCAGACTCGCACCTTCTCCTCAGGGGCTGGTCCATTAGATGGGGAGAAACCAATAGCTGCAGACTCAGGCCTAGGCTTCCATCTCTTACCTCAGTTTCACTTTTCTTTTAAATATATTTTATTGATTTTTTTTACAGAGAGAAAGGAAGAAGGATAGAGAGTTAGAAACATCGATGAGAGAGAAACATCGATCAGCTGCCTCCTGTACCGTCCCCGTCACTGGGGATGTGCCCACAACCAAGATACATGTCCTTGACCTGAATTGAACCTGGGACCCTTCAGTTCATGGGCCAACGCTCTATCCACTGAGCAACACTGGTTAGGGCTTCCCCACTTTTCTTTTCTCTGAACTTGGTGGTAAAGCTGGGCCTGATCTGATGTGGGGCTATTGACATATTGGTGTGTTTTTCTTTTTCTCGTGTGGTGGGACTAGGAATGTGCTTGATGGTGGTGTGTGGGTTGTGTTATACGAAGTATACAGTATTTTGACCACGTGACCTTGCTAACACCTGGAAATTTTTTTTTTAATATATTACAGAGAGGAAGAGAGAGGGATAGAGAGTTAGAAACATCAATGAGAGAGAATCATCGACAGCTGCCTCTTGTACACCCCGTACTGGGGATGTGCCCGCAACCAAGGAACATCCCCTTGACCGGAATCGAACCTGGGACCTTTCAGTCCGCAGGCCGATGCTCTATCCATTGAGCCAAACCCGTTTCGGCAACACCTGGAAATTTTCAAACACCCAAACACCTGGGCCCAGGAAATGTAGGGAAAGGGGAGACATTGATAATCACTCCTGGGGTTAATGCCATGGAAGGCAAAGATGGAATGTGAGTGAGCACCGCCAGGTCCCGTAAAGATCTTATGTAGTGGCTGGTTTTCCCTGCGGAGTGCCACTGAGCTGCAAAAACAGTGGGACGAGCTTCGCAAAGGCCTTCTTATATAGGAAAATATTCCTACTGATTGATTGGCACAGGTCCCAACCACACTTTCCTGCTTATCAGTCAAGCGTGTGTATTTCCATGTGTCGGGGGTAGCTGCTTGGTGTGTGTAAGGCCGACAGAAAGATGCAGCCAAGTGGGAGACCAGTAAGCTGACCCCTGGGCAGCTTGCAGGCCAGTAAGGAGCTAGGGTAAGCCCACAAGTGGATTGGCTTCCACCTACACTCCTTGGACTTCTGCTTCCCGCTACCCTACTTAATGCTGATGAGTTCACTGTGCACATGTGTACACATGTGTACGGAGCGCTTGCCCTGAGTGGGGCTTTGCGCCAGGGAGGTGGGCTTAGGAGAAGGGAGGTATGGCCTGGGTTTCTCAGACACAGCGTTACGGCCATTGGTAATGGACCACTGTGTTTATCCAACCGAGTATCCGAACGGCCGCCTGGGCACGTGCTTCTTCTGTGGGGAAACTGAGAGCACAGACTCAGTCTAGTCCTCAGGGAGGCGGTGTCAGGGGGAGACACGGGACCAGGCCTAGTCCCAGCGCGCAGAGGGTCCCTGCCTTCGGTAGTCGGTGCTAAAAGGCTCTCCTCCACCCGCCAAGGTAACGTGAAGCATCTGCTCCTCTTCCTCCACGAGGCTGTCCTGGTGCAGTACGTGGACACGTTCAAGCTTGCCGTGCCCTCTCTCATCTACACCCTGCAGAATAACCTCCAGTACGTGGCTATCTCCAACCTGCCAGCTGCCACTTTCCAGGTGAGCCCCAAGCCCGCATGGCCCGGAGGAACTGGCGGGGTGGGGTGGGGTGAGGGTGGGGCTGCAGGGAGCTGGCTCTCTTATCACCTTTAGAATATCCGGGCCACTCCCTTCACTTCTGTTTCCTCCTCCGTGGAAATGGTAACTGCTACTCCCTGGGATGCTGGGATGTTTAAAAGGTGTAGCACCCAGCCCGGAAGAGCCCTCGGTTGGTGAGAGAGAAGCTTCTGGCTGTTTTCAGGCTGCCTTAGGAAATGGTTCAGGAGCCTGGATTCAGGGGCCAGGCCGTCCGGGTTCAAATCCCAGCTCGTTTTTCTAGCTGTGTGATGTGTGGCATTGGGTGGGTCCCTTAAAATCCCCGGTCCTTAGCTTGCCCATCTTTATTTTTTGAATACCCGTTTTTATTGGTTTCAGAGAGGAAGAGAGAGGGAAAGACAGAAACATCCATGATGAGAGAGAATCATTGATCAGCTGCCTCCTGCCCGCCCCCTAACTGGGAATCGAGCCCGCAACCCGGGCCTGTGCCCTCTCCTGGAATGGAACCTGGGACCCTTCAGTCCGCAGGATGATGCTCTATCCACTGAGCCACACCGGCTAGGGCAGTTTTCTCATCTTTACATTAGACATTACAGTAGCACGCACTTCATACATGAGGATTGAATGAATGAATTCACATGAAGTGCTTACACCCACACCCGGCACATGATGTGCTAATATTGTGTGGCGGACTCGTTTGTATTGACAGGTATTGCTCAAGACCTCCCTCAGCATGCTGTCTACCATTCATTCATTCACTCCTTTCTGTGTGAGGCGTGTGACGTACCTGACAGCAGGTGTCAGGGCTCAGACCGGGCAGGCGCTTTCTCCCTCAGTACCCAGCCAGGAAACGGGGCTGGGGCGCGGGCTGGAGTGTAGCCGGGGACTTATTCCACAGTCAGCCTCCTGTGTACCTTCCGGGAGGGACCTCGGAGCCATTTAGCTGTAACTGTCCATGGGCGGCAGCTGGAAATGCTTGCCGTGTTTATTGTCATCTACCCTGTGTGTCCTCCCCCCAATGTGCCCGGGGGCCCACCGTGGGTGCTGTCCCCGTGTGCACACGTCGGGGGGGGGCCGGCGGCAGCCCTCAGCACCTCCATATGCCACTCGCAGGTCACGTACCAGCTCAAGATCCTCACCACCGCCGTGTTCTCCGTGCTCATGCTGAACCGCAGCCTCTCCCGGCTGCAGTGGGTCTCCCTGCTGCTCCTCTTCACCGGCGTGGCCATCGTGCAGGCCCAGCAAGCCGGCGGCGGGGGCCCGCGGCCGCTGGACCAGAACCCCGGGGTGGGCCTGGCAGCCGTCGTGGCCTCCTGCCTGTCCTCCGGCTTCGCGGGGGTGTACTTCGAGAAGATCCTCAAGGGCAGCTCGGGCTCCGTGTGGCTGCGCAACCTGCAGCTGGGCCTCTTCGGCACGCTGCTGGGCCTGCTGGGGCTGTGGTGGGCCGAGGGCGCGGCCGTGGCCCATCGGGGCTTCTTCTTCGGCTACACGCCCGCCGTCTGGGGCGTGGTGCTCAACCAGGCCTTCGGCGGGCTGCTGGTGGCCGTGGTCGTCAAGTACGCCGACAACATCCTCAAGGGCTTCGCCACCTCCCTGTCCATCGTGCTGTCCACCGTGGCCTCCATCCGCCTCTTTGGCTTCCACGTGGACCCTCTGTTCGCCCTGGGCGCCGGGCTGGTCATCGGCGCCGTCTACCTCTACAGCCTCCCCCGAGGGGCCGCCAAAGCCATAGCCCCCGCCGCCGCCTTGGCCTCCGGGCCCTGCACCCACCAGCAGCCTCCGGGGCAGCCGCCGCCGCCGCTATCTGCCCACCGCGGAGACCCCAGCACGGAGCCTTTTCTGCCCAAGTCAGTGCTGGTGAAGTGAGCCAGGGAGGGGGACCGGGAGGAGGGAGTGGGGCACCCTGCAAGACCCCAGGTCACCCCCGGGGCCTGGCCCCTCGGGGGTGTGAGGTCTCTTATCCCGGGTCCTTGAGACTCCGGGAGGGGCTCGGGGCTGGGCGGGCGTTCCATGAAGCCTTCCTAGTCCGCTGACCCCCCCCCTCCCATGGAGGGGTGTTAAGAGTCACCTCCCCTGTCCCGGCCCAACCCCTCGGAGGGCCAGGTTGGGGAGGGTGTTGTCATGTAAGGTCTTTTTATCCGCCTCCCTCCTTCAGCCAGAAGTGTCCCGTCTCATGCCTGGAAGGGTCGCTTCCGGGCGTCCCTCTACCTTTGTAAGGACAAATTGGACAAAAACCCTACAGTCCTTTAATAATGACTGATGCCTGCCCGTGGCGGCTCCTTTCCCATAGCGCCAGGCCTGCTCTCCTGCACCGCCAACCTGGATCCTGTTAGCAGCTCTTTCTGCGGCCCTGACACCGAGACCCCCTGGGAGAGGTTGGGGGGCGAGCTGAGGTCTTGGTCCAGAAATTGGGACTTCGTGGTTTTTTTAGTGGTTTGGGGATTGGTGTAATCAGATCATTGATGATCCAGGGTCTGGGCAAAGCAGGGAGGGAGGTCCCTGAAGGGACTGAATCAAAGGAAGACGGTCCGTTGCCAGATGCAGGGTTCTTTTCAGAGAGAACAAAATAAAGCTGCCAACCATCCTCCTGGCTACCCCACTGGCTGAATGAGGCAGCCTTCACTCATGGGTGTGTGTCGGGGGGTGTGTGTGTGTCTTCAAGTTGCTGAAACATGGAACTTGCCCCATGCGCTCCTCAAAGCTTATTAACCCCTTAACTGTCTCCCGGGTGTGTGTGTGTGTGTGTGTGTGTGTGTGTGTGTATGTACGTATGTGTGTGGGGGTGTGTCTGTGCCCATGCACACGCTTGGGAGATTGCCTGGGCTCTTTGCTATGTGTAAATAGGGCCGTTGGACCTTTATTTTTGATTAACTTGTTCTGATTTTTTTTTGTTTTCTAAGGAACTGTAATGAACCAATGTCAGGATACCTAATGCCAAATAAAGATGTTGTATTTATTTAGTCCACGTGTAGCTTTCTGACCCAGGGGACCTGCTCTCTGTACACATGGGCTCTGTTACTAACCTCAGAATGACCCGCCTCATTGCTGTCACCCTCGCTTGCTCGGGATGCCTGCCTGCCAGCCCACCCCAGCTTTCTGTTTTTCTTTCCTCCCCGTTCCCACCACAGGTTGCTCACCAAGGTGAAGGGTTCGTAGCTGCTGGGACTGAAGACACTGGCCTGGCTTCGTCCTCCCTTCTTGCCCTGGCACAGCCAGGACCATACTCTGATCAGTATTAGGGCTGGGGGGAGTTGGGACACTGATGCCCCCTGTCCCCGCTGCCCCCACCCCCACCCCCACCCCCATACAGGGCTGATACACCTAAACTGTCTGATAAGGAGGGTCCAGCTAGGAACCACCTCAGCTTCTAGTCCCTGCTGTCCCCATATGCCCGTGCCACGCCCACAGTATTTCTTAGGGGAGTTTTTGCAAATAAACTGCTTTGCATCAAACATTTCATTCACTCACTCCTAATGCCTTGGCAGGACCAGACCAAAAGATTTCACGGCTCTTATATGGCCCTCGGGCCAGACATTCCCCACCCCTGATAGAAGCTACACTGTTACCCAAGCCTATTCGGCTTCAGAGTTAGGTAGGGATTTATCCACATCCTTTCGGTTCCTGAGCTCCAGGAGTACACTGTAGCTAGCACACTACCAAAGTTGCTTTTGATAAAATGAGTTTGGGTTGGGAAGCCTCAAAATCGCAAAAGAAGGAAAGCACACCAGCCTGGTGGGTTGGAGCCACGGAAAGCTTTTATTAAAAAAACCACGAGGGTTCGGTTTATTCCTGGGGCTGCGGCTTGGTTCGGGAAGCCTCGGCGTTGGCCCGGAGCACAGCCCCTGGGGACGGGTAGGGACGCTGCTGGAACAGGGGCCCGGCGGCCGTCGTGTCTGCCCCCGTCTTCGCTTCGTTCCGCTTGGGGAGTCCAGTAGACCAGGTGCCCCCGGGGGGTGATGAGATGGTCAGGCCAGGCGGGTGGGAGTGTGGGAGGTGGCAGGCAACTCCCTCCTCCCAAATAACCGGTGAGTCAGGGAGGGGGAGGGGGAGGCAGAAAGGAAGTGTGGGGAGTCCATGTCACTTACCGGGGTGCATCGGAGTATGCGCTGGGGTCCATTGGGTCTAACTCCTCATCCTTCCGGCTTGACGCTGTGGAAGGAGGTGGCAGAACAAGGTCTTCAATGGGGGCACAAAGGACCTCTGGTCACTGAGCTTCCCCCATCGCAAGAACAGATGGAGTCCCAGCTGCCATGGCTGCAGCGCCTTTCCCCCCCCATCCCCCCATTCAGGCAACTTGCACAAAGGGAAGTGAGGGCTTCTGTACCCCGGTGCCTGCAGCCCTCCCCAGGCCCAGCCCTGCTCAGCTTACCCTTCTTGCTCTTGGGATAGGGAGCCAGCTCTTCCCGGCGATGGTGGCGCCGTTCTTTGGCCTCTTCTCTGTCCGCCTTGTCGTACCCACGGTCACGGTCACGGTCCCGTTCCCGGTCACGATCCCGGTCACGGTCCCTGTCCCGGTCCCTGTCCCGTTCCCTGTCCCGCTCTCTCTCTCTCTCCACCTTTTCATAGCCACGTTCTCGATCTCTGTCTGACTTCTCGTGGCCCCTCTCAGACTTCTCGTGGCTCCTTTCAGACTTCTCGTGGCTCCTTTCAGACTTCTCATGGCTCCGCTCCGACTTCTCATGGCTCCGCTCTGACTTCTCCTCAGCAGCATCTGGGAACACAAAAGCCTTGAGGTGACCTTCTTCCTGTGCTGGCCCTGGCCAGATTGCCACATGCACCTGTCCATATCAGTCTATAGTCCCAAGACTTGAAGACTCAAAACCAAAGTAGGGAGGAGGATTGGGATAAGAGAACATTCTTGGAAGAATTATAGGGCATTTAGGCCCAACCAGTGTGGTTCAGTGGTCAAGCATCCATCTATGAGCCAGAAGGTCACAGTTCAATTCTGAATCAGGGCACATGCCCAGGCTGTAGCCTTGATCTGCAGTGGGGAGCATGCAGGAGGCAGCCAATCAATGATTCTCTTTCATCATTGTTGTTTCTATCTCTCTCTCCATCTCTCTTCCTCTCTGACATCACTAAAATAATCAGAACCCGGGAGCTGGTTCTTTTGCCAATCTCTCTGACACCTGGGGCTGTGTTGGCCTGTCTCCCCTGTCCCTCCTGAACCCACTAGCATTCAGGGAGCCCTTTCTGAGAAATTCTGGAAGTGCTTGAGACACCCTGGGCCCGCCAACTCACCCGGATTGCTGTTCCTGGGCTTCTTAGCCGCTTTGGTAACGACGGAGTTGGAGTCGTGGGGGGAGAGCCAGGAGACCAGGTCCGTGTCCACATTCCAGTAGTAAGGGAGCCCGCTGCAGGGCGGTGGGAAGGGGGAAGAACTGTCAGCATAGATGCCCTCCACTTGTAGCCTCCGCTGCTTCCCAATCTCTACATACACCTACCCCATGTCAGGACTCTCCAGACCCCTTCCCTTCTGTCCCCCATCTCCCCAAGGCCAAGGGCAGCACAGGAGGGGCAAAGTCAGATGTTATCTTCCCCACCCCCCCCGAAGGTCCCCAGGCTTACCAGGACGGGTCAAACACCTTGTACCAGCTGGGTGGCAAGCCCTCCAAGCGGGTGGCCTCATAGTCCACGGGATCATCATCGTAGTCCTCAGCAATAATCTCTTCCTCTGGTTCTGCCAGGACAGGCAGAGGGGGAGAGCAGTAAGTATCGGGGCTCCTCCTCCTACAGTGTGGGCCTGGAGAGATGCTCACATTCACACGGACACGTGTGCGTGTGCCAGATCGCCCCGGCCACGGCACACGGCGCTCACAACCCAAGTCCTGGCATCTACATAGTGAACCTGGAGCCTTTCCCGTCCCCTCCCCTTTCCCCAGGGGCATTCATCACGCACGGCCATCACCTTCCACACTCCCATGCTCCAAGGACCCTTCCTGCGTCCATTGCCTCAATCAATTACGTCTACCGCTTTGGTTTTTCCAAATAAACGTTCTCTTAAAGAGTTTGAAAACAATAAACAAACAAATAAATAAATAAATAGAGAACTTACCAAAACATGTACGTACCTAAATCTGTCCTGTTCCTGGGTTCAGATAAGGCAGGGGTGGGGAACCTTTTTCCTATCAAGGGCCATTTGGATATTTATAACATCATTCACGGGCCACACAAAATTATCAACTTAAAAATTAGCTTGCTATATTTGGTCAAACATTTCATTAACTCACACCTAATGCTTCGCAGGGCCAGACCAAAGGATTTCACGGCTCTTATATGGCCCGCGGGCCAGACGTTCCCCACCCCTAATAGAAGATACACTGTTACCCAAGCCTCTGGCTTCAGAGTTTAGGTAGGGATTTATCCACATCCTTTCGGTTCCTGAGCTCCAGGAATACACTGTAGCTAGCACACTACCAAAATCCACTTGGATAAAATGAGTTTAAACAGCAATAAGTTTCTCTAAAAATGTCCAAATGTATTCCGCTCCCAAGCTTGGGAAGTGGAGGATTTCTGACATTTTTAGCAGCAAGAATTTAAGGGATTTATTCAAATACTGCTCTGAGTCCATTCAGTTCCCAAGGCCTGATGTTTATTCAGCTAACATCAGTAGAATAAAAAAAGGTGTATTAGGCCCTCAGTAGGCCTGTCATGGACTTCAGTTGTGGATATAATAATTAAATGTGTATTTCAGCAATAGCATAGTGCCTGTCGCTGGAGGTCAGCTATAATCATCAGTATTGTTAATAAGGTATATACCATCAGAAAAAAAATTAGGTGCACAGGGCCTGGCACCGAACAGAGTTAACATAATGTGTATCCAAGCACTGAGTACACCCAAAACACATATTCATATGGTGAGCAATAATCAATATACCACCAGCATAGTGCCTGACACCACAGTAGGTCTGAAAAAATATTATTATGGTAAAACACAAAGGATCAGCATCTTGCCACTGTCCTTTAGGTACAGGAGACTGCTATCCTATTACTCTGTAACCACTTCCATGGATGCACTGAATCCGGCATACAGTAGGCCCAAATAGGTATCAGGATGAAATGCCTATCTTGCCCGGGTTCCCACCCCCACCCCAACCTTGGCACCTAGTAGGAATGGGTGTCAGGAATCCGTACTGTTAACAAAAAAAATGCCTGCCACCCCGCTGCCTAATGCACAGTAGGCCCAACGTAGCATACAAGGGGATAGTATCAACAACAATGTAAGTGCCTGTCAAGCCGGGCACATGGTAGGCGCATGGGCACTGAGCGTTCTTACCGGGGTCGAGATGCTTGAGGATGCCTCTCTTCGCCAAGCGGGTCTGCAGAGCAACGGGCAGCGGCATAGCGATCCGCAGGCAGATCTGGGGATGGATGGACAAACTAAAAACCAGCTCCCAAGAAAAGATGAATCGTTGCAATAAGCATGCACCCCCCGCCCCACTTTGTGTTCATCTGGACCCCCAACGCCTCACCAGTAGCTGGGCAGACGAAACTGAGCTCAAAGGTGGAAGAGATAGGTTACAATATTACCAAAACTCTCAGCAGCCCTCCTTTGCAGGCCCGTGCTCCAGAATCCAGTTCCTCTCCTAGGCCCAGGGCCCGCCCATCGCCGCAGGGGTCGAACGCGCCTCCCCCGCGCCACAGAAATGGTCTCACCTTACGTCCCCGACTGACTGCCGGGTGGGCGGAACCAAAGAGCTCGGATGGAGGAGCACAGGGGTGCACCGCCTCCGGCTTCCACGTGTGCACGTCCCTCGACGCTACCAATGGAGCCCCGCGGGCAGTGGCAAGCTGTCAGACCGTCTGCGTCAAGGTGGTCGCCGCTGGAGTGTCCGGGATCACGCGACTGTCTCCTCCCAAAGCGCAGAGCCAGACCGTCTCTCCCCAAGGCTGGAAATGAACTGGGCGAAGCTCAGGCTGCGGAGGGGGAAAAAAATGACACATCCGGACAGCCAATGAGAGCGCGCCGCTGCCCTGACGTAGGACGTAGCCACCCAGCTGCGGCCCCGGGATTGGTGGGAGCCCGGGCGGCTGTGCGCGTTTCCCGAGGGGGCGTGGCAAGCCGGGGCTCAGCGGGACTGAGCTGGCGCCATGGAGGAGTACGCTCGGGAGCCCTGGTACGGCGACGGCCACAGGCCTCGGGACTGTTCCTGCGACCCCGCGCCCCGCTGCGGGAGGCGGGCGGGGGAGGCGGGCACGGGCCCCACGGCGCCGCGGCCCAGACCCCGGAGACGCCTCGCCGTCTCTTCTCGTCCCCCCACTGCGTCCCTTCCACTGGGGTTCCGTTAAGAGGGGCCCCGGAGAAGGTGCGGTTCAGGACGAACCAGTCCTCCGACGCCGTGTCTCTTTCCTTAGAACGGAGACGCTGCTCAAACCCTTCCCCGCCAGGGTGGCGCGGGGTTGCGTGGAAATCCCCTAGCTACCACGCGAGTTTCCCCCCGGGTTGCTGTGGGGGAGTGGGGCGGGGCCTAGCTGAGCCTATTGTGAGCGAGGAGGTGGCGCTGGACCCCCCCACCACCGCCGCCCGCTCTTGGTTTTTCCAGTTGTGCCAGGTTAAAGGTGGGGGGGAGGGGGAACGGGCCTTCGGTTGGACACACTCATTTTCGGAGAAGGGGGTGCGACAACACTAGCCAGTTAATGACACTACTAGCCCGTTAACACTTCTATAACGTCTCTTCAAGGGGGCCAACTGTTAGTGCATAATCAGTTCATTTCATCTTTGACAGTAAAGCGGTTGGCTGATTCCTTAGCTGCAAAAGGAGAGGGCGGAGAGGGCAAAGCACTATTTTATTATTATTATTATTTTGCTTAAATGGGAGGGAGAAATAATCTTATTATCTGAAATGTCACTTCCCATTCAAAGGACTTGGTTTCTCCCAGCAGGAAAGAGTCCTTGAGGCATGGCGTGGGGGGCGGGGGGGGGGGGCTCACATTAACCCCATCCTCCCCTTGACCCTTGCAGCCCATGGCGAATTGTGGATGATTGCGGCGGAGCCTTCACGATGGGAGTCATCGGTGGCGGAGTCTTCCAGGCCATCAAGGGCTTCCGCAATGCCCCTGTCGTGAGTCAGTTACATGCACCAGATCATTCTGGTGCCTGCTTGCCTCCCATGTGCCAGGCCTGACTCCAGAGTCGGGGGTTTTGGGGGTACTGCAAACATGGCCTCATTCCCTCATCCCAACCCAACTGTAGCACCTACCTCTGTGAAGGGCCGCGCTGTGACAATGGGCACCACTGTCGACGTAAGAAGGTGCAAAGCTGTAGAAAGATTTTATAAAGGTTCATTAGAGCTTATTTGAGCCCTATAAGGGCATGGCTGGAAGCAAGGTCTCAATAGGATTGAGAAAAATGCTTCCCATAATGACAGTTTGGGTTTCTGGTTTTGTACATTTGGAATTAAGGAGGGAACAGAGAGAGGATTACATGAACTTGGGAGAAAGTAAAGCCGGGACATCTGTGATTGGATTATAAGATAAGATTATGTGATCTCTGAGAGGTTTAAAAAAGAAGCATTTCAGAGGTGTGAACCGAGACGCACAGAAACAATGGACAGAGCTTGCTTACGGCAAGGATAACCTTTTTACTAGGGAAGTTACAGGTCTGAGACAAGACTACCCCCATGACCTTCTAGTTATCATTTATGATCAGATCACCCTGTGAGATTATTACAGAGCCCATTTTTCACCCACATCACCAAATTCTGTGTCTGCTGAGCCAGGCAGATTTTACCTAGAGGCAGATTCTGGGTAACAAAACTGGCTTGAGGGAAGTGACAAGAGTTTAGCTGGCAGATGGAAGACAACCTTGAATTTAAGAAAATGTTTTTACCCCTAGCCAATTTGGCTCAGCGAATAGAGCATCGGCATGCAGACTGGAGGGTCCCGGGTTCGATTCCAGTCAAGGGCACTTGCCTGGGTTGTGGGCTTGATCTCCAGTGGGGGGGGGGGGCATGCAGGAGGCAGCCGATCAATGATTCTCTCTCATCATTGATGTTTCTCTCTCTCTCTCCCTCTCCATTCCTCTCTGAAATCAATAAAAATATATTTTTTTAAAAATGTTTTGAATTTATCATAAAAAATTCTGTCCCTTTCTCTGACACCCCCTCCTGGAGATCTAATCACATGTCATACTTTGCCATCCATTTGCCAAGGTCGCTGCAGTGTATGTGTCTCCCCATCCCCTCAGCTCCTGTAACTCCTGGATCTTTACCCAGGTTTCTCTCCCTCATCCTCAGAGTCTCCGCACAGATGCCCTTCCTTAAAGAGGTCTTTTCTTACCTTCAGCTGCTGTCATCTCTATCCTGTTTCCTCTAGGATGCATATTGCTGTTGAAGCTGACTTGCTTACCTGTTCGCTTGCTCAGGGTCTGTCTCATGAGAATGTGAGCTGTGAGAGGGAAGGGACCAGGCTGCGCTATTGCTGCATACAGCATGGTGCCTGGCGCAGGTGCTCAGAAATCGTGAACTGGATAGATGGATGAGAACTTCTCAGCCCAGCTTTGAGAATACTTCTGTTGTGCCCGGCTGGTGTTGCTCAGTGGTTGAGCATCAATCTACGAACCAGGAGGTCGCGGTTCCATTCCCAGTCAGGGCACATGGGTGCATGCTTGATCTCCAGTGGGGGTGTGCAGGAGGCAGCCAGTTCATGATTCACTCTCATCCCTGGTTTTTCTCCCTCTCCCTTCCTCTCTGAAATCAACAAAAATAGCTTTTTAAAAGAGAACACTTGTGTTGGGGTGCTCCCCAGCCCCCTAGTTCTTAGCTGCCTCTCCACATCTCTACCACTGAATACCCCTGAATCCCCTTCTCTCTGAAAAGCCATAAACCCTGTGCCAGGGGCCTCAGGCCTGCTCTGATTCTCATCTCACTTTCCCCAGGGGATTCGGCACCGGCTGAGAGGTAGTGCCAATGCCGTGAGGATCCGAGCCCCTCAGATTGGAGGTGAGAGGCCCGGGGACACGGGAGGTGGTGGCAGAGTTGGCGGTGGTGGCTGCTTTGGGTCTAGTCCTCCAGTTGGAGGTCCGCACGTGAGCCCCAACTCTGCCCGGGACTGCCCGGGAGAGTGACGTGTCCCCGCAGTCTAATGTGGGTGAGATCTGGAGTGTAAGTCTAGGTCCTGGTTCTTTCCTGATGTGTGGCCTTGGGATAGTGGCTCAGCCTCAATCTCATCTGTGACATGGGGATGACAAGTGCAGTGACCACCCCGTCATTTTGTCATGTATGTAACTTACATAGCATTTACTAAGTGCCAGCTGCTCTGCTAAGCACTTCGATACTATTAACTAATTTAAAATGTTAGAAGTCAAATAACCCGCAGTACCTAGATCAGGTCCCAGGACACAGTAAGGCCTCAGTGAACGTTTTAACTACCAGATGGTTAACTGGCTTTTCTAACCTGTTTCCTTCTCACTAAAACCAAGAGCAGAATTCCCATTCTACGTGGTGGCTTATGGAGATCACAGTTGTTTGTTTAAAGCCACATAGAAGGTAAATGAGCTTATAAACTTGTCACCTCCCCATGAAGGAGAGGGAGTGTCGATTACAATTAGAGAGATGTGGGGGATATCCCCTAGACCAGTGGTCGGCAAACTCATTAGTCAGCAGAGCCAAATATCAACAGGACAAGGATTGAAATTTCTTTTGAGAGCCAAATGTTTTAAACTTCCAACTATATAGGTAGGTACATTGTTATTAACTTAATTAGGGTACTCCTAAGCTGGCCTTTGCTAAAAACTCAAGGGGCCAAAGAGCCATATATGGCTCGTGAGCTGCAGTTTGCCTACCACTGCCCTAAGACTGGTTCTCAACCTTCCTAATGCCGTGACCCTTTGATACAGTTCCTCATGTTGTGGTGACCCCCAGCCATAAAATTATTTTTGTTGCTACTTCATAACTGTCATTTTGCTACTTTTATGAATCATAAGTATTAGATAGCTGATATGCAGGATGTATTTTCATTGTTACAAATTGAACATAAAGCATAGTGATTAATCACAAAAACCATAGGTAAGTATATATTATGAAATATTTATTTCTAATTACAAATAAATGAAATTTTGTCTTGAAGCATGGTGTAGCATGGATAACAGTCTTAATATAACAACAGTAAACGACATTGCTACCCTTTCCGATGGTCTTAGGCGACCCCTAGGAGTGCTGTCTGTCTGCATCTGGGCTTGTTTCCCTTTCTTTGCGGAGCATTCAGCCTTGGAAGTCCCGGTCCCTGAGCCGTGGATTCTGGGGAACACTGATTGGGCCTCTGTCCCTCGCAGGTAGCTTCGCAGTGTGGGGGGGCCTGTTCTCCACCATCGACTGTGGCCTGGTGCGCCTGCGGGGCAAGGAGGACCCCTGGAACTCCATCACCAGCGGCGCGCTGACTGGCGCGGTGCTGGCTGCCCGCAGTGAGTGCCCCCAGCCTGGCCCGGCTCCTGCCCCTTCCGCCCTGTTCTGCCAGCGCTCACCTCTCTCCCTGCCTCCCTCCTCCTCCAGGCGGCCCCTTGGCCATGGTGGGCTCAGCAATGATGGGGGGCATCCTGTTGGCCCTCATTGAGGGCGTTGGCATCCTCCTCACTCGCTACACTGCCCAGCAGTTCCGCAACGGTGAGCGCCCAGTGGAGCGGGTCAGGGGAAGGTGGGTAGTGCTCTGTCTAGCCGCCTCCGTTCACCTTCTCTGGATTCTCCCCTCTCCAGCACCCCCGTTCCTGGAGGACCCCAGCCAGCTGCCCTCCAAGGAGGGGGCCCCGGCCTCGGGCTATCACGGCTACCACTGAGGAAGTGACCGCCTCACCACCATCCTGGGAGCTCCTCTTCGTTCTCCTCCCCGATGATCTACCTCGAAGGGAGGGCTGGCTCCCCGTTGGCCCTGGGACCCTCCAGAGAGGGCCTCTCCTCTCTGTTCCCTTGTCCCAGGGCGGGGTGGGGCACCCCAGCTGCCCCTCTCGCCGGGCACCCCAGCCCCACCCCATACATGTAACAAGCTCTTACCCCAGACTCTTCCTGTTCGCCCTGATGAGTATTTAAAGCCAGTTGTGAAATGCCTGTGTGTGTGCTCACTGCGCCTCTTCAGGGACACACAAGCCCTGGGATGCGGAGGCCCACAGAGAGTGGGCCTCAGTGGTGTCTGGAGGATGAATGAGCAGGAGGGGGGATGAATCGAGATGGTAATAGGTACATGAGTAAGCATGTGTGGGAGCCAAGGGATGAATCATGTACGTAGAGGAATAGGCTTGGGAAAGAAGTGAGGAAACAAGGATTGCTGGCGTGGTGGGGGGGTCTGACCCCTCCCTCCCAGGCCCCATTGCCAAGTCTGGGAAATCTGACCCCACGGTGAACTCTGGCGTTCTGGACACCAGCCACCCCATTGGTGTGAGAAAATCCCCCTCAACATGGCAGCACCGTGGACCTGGCTTCCTTAAGGCGCCCTGCCTCAGTCTCCTCTAAGGCACCGCAGATACTTCTCGTCAGGCTCAGTGCTGTCAGTATCTTTCTCCCAGTTACTTTATTTTTAAAAATATATATTTATTGATTTTTTTACAGAGTGGAAGGGAGAGAGAGAGAAACATCGATGAGAGAAACATCAATCAGCTGCCTCCTGCACACCCCCTACTAGGGATGTGCCCGCAACCAAAGCACATGCCCTTGAACCTGGGACCCTTCAGTCCGCAGTCTGACCCGCTATCCCCTAAACCGGTCTCGGTCCCAGTATTTTTTTTTTTTTTTAAGGGGAACCACAGAATAATCCGAAGTGAGCTTTCATTTTGGGCCGGGGGGTTATGGGGAAAATTTTCTGAATGGACATCAGCTCCAAAAGCTGTCTCTTCCGTGTAAAGCCCTGCGTGGTGATGCAGGCATCTGTCTCTCCCGGGTCCTCCCCGGGCGCAGGCTCTGAGCAGATCAAGCGGGCAGGGTTGCAGTTGTGTCACTGAGGGGCCAAGTCCCTGTGGAGGCCGTGGGGGCCCCGGGGACTCAGCACTGCACCTCAAGGAGTGTCAGAGGGCATTCCTACTTCTGCCGTGGCTTGCACAAAAGGGCCAGCTTTTATGTGGCTGTGCAAACGGCCTCCCAGGCCACATAAAAGCTGTCTCTTCCGTGTAAAGCCCTGCGTGGGATGATGGCGGGCACTGCCCGCAGCTCTGGGCCTCAGTAGGGCCCCAGCCTCCAGCTCCCAGCCGCACAGTCCGGCCCAGGCTGGCCCAGACTGCTGCCTTGTATTTCTGGGCCACTTCCTTTGTTCCTGCCCCTCTGAGTACCTGGGCCCCACCCTTCCTTGGCTGAGGTCAAACACCCCCCACCCCCTTATTTCCAGATCCCGCCCTGATCATATCAAGCACCGTCCCATTAGCTCTTGGGGGGCCTTTGCTTTCTAGGAATCCTCAGGTTCCACCTCCTTCCCAAAAGCTGCTGTGGTTCCCACAGCCCCCGTGTCTTCAGGCACCACCCCTTCCTGTCTCAACCCCGCCCTGGAAGGTTCCTACCGGCCCTCCTGTGTATCAGCCCAGCCTCCTGAGGCCCTCACCACTGTACCGCCCTGTCCCCTCCCAGTGGGCCCCGCCCCACAGCCCCTTAGACCTGCAGCCTGCCTGCCCTCAGCCTAGACCCCTGCGTCTTCAGGCCCCGCCCCGCAGGTGCCCCCAAAGCCCAGCCGCCCACCCTCCTCTCCCACCCCGGCCCGTAGGCGCCCCCAGCCCGGCCGGAGCCCCCGCTCCACCCCTCGCGCCCCCTGATGAAGGCCGCGGTTCTGATGGTGCAGGAGGTCCTGGGCGCCCTCCGCAGGGCCGGCTGAGACCGCTCACAGGTCATTTCTGACTTGGACAGGACCCCAGCAGGTTTGCCTGTAACGGGAAGCCATGCCCCTCTCCCTACAGCATTCCGGAGAACCGCGATCACCAGCGAGGACTGCCCGGCACAGCTGGAGGCTCCTTCCCCGGTATTGCCCACTGAGATCGGCCACACCGGGCCGCCAAGGAGAACGGCCTCCTGTGGGCATCGGACCAAAGGCACGATCTGCCGTGTCAGCAGGAGCTTCCAAAGCCTCAGCTGAGGCCAGGGCCATGCTGAGGGAGGGATGCACGGCGCTCTTCAGCACCCTCTGCCAAATAACCCCCTCTTCCTCTTCTCCCCGCCTTGCTGCCATCCCGGAAGCCATTACCCCACAGATGGAAGGGTTCCGCCCCAACATCCACATGGTGTCCACATGGATTTTGACCAAGAGGGCTTCCTACAGGGATTCCAGGGCCAGCCGTCCACACACAACAACAGCTCAGTCACACACACAACAGCCCTGCGTGCAGCCACTCTGGCTACTTCCCCAGCTTCAGGGCAAAACCAAGGTGCCATGGCCAATTGGGTTCAGGGTGGGGAAAGCATTCTCAAGATCGGCTTCCATGCCAAAACCAGAGCATCAGCCTGCGGACTGAGGGGTCCCAGGTTCAATTCCAGTCAAGGGCATGTACCTTGGTTGCGGGCACATCTCCAATAGGGGGTGTGCAGGAGGCAGCTGGTCGATGTTCCTCTCTCATCAATAGTTCTGACTCCATCCCTCTCCCTTCCTCTCTGTAAAAAATCAATAAAATATATATTTTTTAAAAAATATCGGCTTCCTAAATGACAAGGTGGAGAAGCAGCAGGAGTGCTTCATGGCCTCCTATGACCTTGTGCTGGAGAAGGAGGAGACGCTGGACGTGGTCAACATGCTGCACCAGGGGCACTGGATGGAGATGGGGCTCCTGAGTGCGCAGGCGCAGGGCCTGTCTGTGGGCGGAGACGCGGAGGGGAGTTCCTTGGGGGCTGCTCTGCTGTGAGCCTGGTGTGTACAGAGGGCAGCTGAGGATTGTGTTCCCCACTCCAAGCACAATGCTCACTTCTGAGGTGACAGAGAAACTTGTTCCCCTCATTATAATACGTGGAAAGCAACTTACCCACAGCTACACTGCCTGAAAGAGTCAAGGCTGGGCTTCACATCCTTACTTATTGTGCTTCGAGTTTCAGAGATGTCATTTGCCACGTAATCTCCAGGACCACACATTGTCAGTCATTACGGGTGTCATTGGAAGGTTTCCTTAGGCCATCGCCACAATTTCTTAGCCTCCTTAAAGTGATAACTTCAAGGACAGAGTTCTCTGTTTTCAATCTTTATTTGAGAGAGAGAGAGAGAGAGAGAGAGAGAGAGAGAGAGAGAGAGAGCGCGAGCGCGCATCAATTTGTTCTTCCACTTATTTATACATTTGTTGGTTGATTCCTGCATGTGCCCTGACGTGGGATCAAACCCACAACCTTGGGGAATGGGACAATACTCTACCAGTGGTCAGCAAACTCATTAGTCACCAGAGCCAAATATCAACAGTACGTACAATGATTGAAATTTCTTTGGAGAGCCAAAGTTTTTAAACTTAAACTTCTTCTAATGCCACTTCTTCAACATAGACTCGCCCAGGCTGTGGTATTTTGTGGAAGAGCCACATTCAAGGGGCCAAAGAGCCGCAGTTTGCCGACCACAGCTCTAACCAACTGAGCTACCTGAACCGGGCCAGGGACAAATGTGTCTTCATCGAGGTCAAGTCAGCACCAATTCTGGGCATTCACAAAGGGCTCTGCGTTCAAACTCAAGACAGTTTCTCACCTGAACACCTCACCAAATCAGAGGGTATGAACTAGATCAGATGGCAAACCTCGGCTCTGTTGACTAATGAGTTTGCCCACCACTGAACTAGATGATACAGAATGTAAGCTCTCCCTTGACAGCCCAGAGATGGGGGCATCGCCTTTCCTCAGATTTGTTTAGTTAATTATTAAGACTCTTATAAGACTGGGCTCTGACATTTTATTTAGGGAGCTTTAGAAAGAAAACACAGGCCTGTGAAGCTAAAATTTTAAAAATATATATATATTTTTAAAAATATATTATTTTATTGATTTTGTACAGAGAGAAAGGGAGAGAGATAGAGAGCTAGAAACATCGATGAGAGAGAGTCATCGATCAGCTGCCTCTTGCACACCCCCTACTGGGGATATGCCCACAACCAAGGTACATGCCCTTGACCGGAATCGAACCCAGGACCCTTCAGTCCCCAAGCCGACGCTCTATCCATTGAACCAAATCGGTCTCGGGTTAAAAATATTTTTTGAGTCCAGAGAGGAAGGGAGAAGGAGAGAGAGAGAAACATCAATGATGAGAGAGAATCATTGATCGGCTGTCTCCTGCACACCTCCTGCTAGGGATTGAGCCTGCAACCCAGGAATGTGCCCTTGGCCAGAATTGAACCCGAGACCCTTCAGTCTGCAGGCTGACACTCTATCCACTGAGCAAAACTGGCTAGTGCAGAATGAGGAAAACTTATTATTTATTTATTTATTTATTTATTTAAGAGTTCTTTATCAATTAAGGTACCACATATTTGTCCTCATCCCCCATTCCCATCCCAAACCCTTCCCCACGAATGCCCTCACCCCCCTGTTGTCCGTGACCACAGGTTAGACTCATATACATACACACAAGTCTTTTGGTTGATGTCTTTCCCCCACCCTCCCCTACCTCCCCTTAGAGGTCTGACAGTCTCTGGGTCTGTTCTTGTTCATCAGTCTGTTGTTCATCATTTCCCCTAGATGTGTGAGATCATGTGCTACTGGAAATACACTTATAAGAACCAAAAATGAGACAAGCCATAATGGTTATGCCGAGAGAGGCAAATGAATCAGTCTGTAGTGAGTTTCTTTCTGGGCCAACAGTTCTTTTGAGTCCCAATTTCAATGTCAAACAGTTCCTTATGTGCACATGTCAGCAATGATATTTCAGTTCTGGATGGTGAACAAATGGTGGTGATGCAGGTCTGACCCTCTCTGGTTTGGTCCTGGGCAACCTGCAGTGACGCACAGCTGCTGACTGCTAGAATGGCAAGACTTCGTCAGCGTCTTCCATCTCTGGACTGCCTCTCTTCTGTCTTTATGGCTGGAGCAGTCCTGTCAATTCCTCTCTGTTGCAGGAATCCACCTGGTCTCGGAGTTGTTTTCTGAAAATATACAAATATATTCTCTACCAAAAG